CGTGTTCGAATTCCCACCCGGATGCTCTTCGGGCATTATGTCATCCTTGTTTAACGTTCAATAACAAGGATGGAGTGTGATATCTGAGTGGTACTCGGATGGGAATCCGAACATCAAAGCGTTAGTGAATTTGTAGGGTTGGTTGTATCTTGAGTAAATTAAACTTTTTTATTCTCTCTCGATATTGCACTGCAAGATTTATATATATATATGTAATAATAGCTGGATGTATATGTCCGGTTAAAAATCGGATACAGCGGCACGCTAATGTGGAAAAATTCTGGTCACACCAGCGCCACGGAATTTGCTATGCAAATGTGCTTTATGTCGAGGGTAGGTATCCATCGAGCTTTCGTGGCTGCCGCATGGATGCAATCTGTGCATCGAGATGGAAGACAATGTTGCACCAGGTGCGAGATACAACTACCGGTGTCACTAGCGGGTGATTTAGTCGTGCTTCTATAATTAGTCTCAGTTCTAATAACCGACACACCTTGGCGCCGATTCGTGAACCAGCTCCTATTGTATGGGCACAAATCTTGGCTGTTGTTTGGATTATCTCCCGCGAAATGAAATCTCTCGCGGTTATTTAGTTGGACAGTTAGTCCAAAATACTATTAATTTATTACATCAGCTATAATAAATCTGGTGTGTACCGCGAAATATAATGCGAATCCTAATAAGCGTGCATATTGTGCGCGGAGGAGAGGCTTCGCAGCTCTAATTATTTTATTAGTTGCGATGCTCTCCAGCTTTCAGCTTTTAACGAGTATTATAACCAAAATTAATTATGTTAATGGTTTAATTCGTTCATCTCCCCCTCGGTAATGTGTGTTTTCTACGAGTTAGAATAAACATTAAAATTAAAATTCAGTTTTTCAGCTGTTTGTAGATGCATAAATTATGTAATGCAATAACAATAATGATTTTAATTTTGATAATAAATATTTCATAAATCAATTTTCCCTGACAAAAGCTTTTAGCGATGAATGTGTTATTGTTACCGTAACAATTAATGCTCGAATTAAAATTATTACAAAAAGTTAAGTTACGAATTTAAGTGAAAAATAAGATTTTATTACTCGGTCACATCTCAAAAGTTCGACAACGTCGAGGGTAAATTCTTTTAAATTTAGGAATAATAAAACGATATTTTATTGACCGCATCTCTGGACACAAATATAATAAAAAGAAAGGAATGTATAATTCACTATTCGCCGTAGAAAAAAGAATCAGTTCTGACGTGGCAATTTTCTAAATTTAACTTGTTTTTTGTTCCTGCATTTTCTTTCCGATATTAGTTATTACACGCAAAGTCGCGCCGTTTTGCTTCGTGCAACTGTTACAGCCGCATGCATTACGCCCGCTGCCTATTCATTGTCGGTATCAGATGCACCGAGGAGCGCGCTGCTGCCACACAAGCGCCGTAATACTTGCAGCTATAGGCGCCGGAAGTATACCTATATGCGAACGCAGTTGCCGCGCCGGCCGACCGACTTGTCTCGCAATTACTTGCACGGAAACTCACAAAAGCGGGTCGAAGAACGAAGAAGTCGGCTCTCGTCGCCTTTAGCATTGTTCGCGAAAGCAAGGGAGTCAAAAGTCATTGCCATTTAGTTGATACGTAACGACGATACATTGCCGGAGTCGTCTATAACGTCTGCAAATTTGTGTCTCGGGGAACATTATAACGTCTTGAAATCACTCGAGAGAAGCATTAAAATTTTTGAGGACATTTTATTTTTAGAAAGGCCGAGATCCGCGAATAAACTTCGAAACGCCTTATGTTTCAACTTGTGACTTTCGAATATGTGTAGTTTCCTTGGGGATAAAATTTCAATATTCACACCGTACGTGAGCAGGACATTTATTTTCCGCTTAGCGCTCAGCAGAACGATGGCATACAGTTAAAACGTTCGCCCAAAATCATCCTAATAACTCAGCCCCGCAGCACCGCTCGCAATCCTCTCACGCACATAAATTTCCCTCGTTGTCGCCATTAGCGCGCGATTTCGTAGTTCACCGACCACGCCAAGTCGCTCCGCTCGACGCGATACGTCTCGCTGCGAGAAAAGAAAAAGAGATCGGATGTTGGAACGATTCGTCTCTTTCGATTAATAACCATCCGGTGGATTCTTTTTTTATTTTCCGCTGCTGTACGTCAAAGGGTGATATATATACCGGCAGCGACTTCGATTTTATGGATTTCACGACTCTTATTATTATCCCCCGCGTCCGCGCAGCCGAGTTTCATTCAACAGACGATTGATGCCGCGGGACGCCGACGTCCCGGCGGCGGTCATGCCAAGGCCATTCCCGAAGGACGACGAAATTGCTTCCGTTCGCTATATTCGTACCCAAGGCCCCCAATATTCGTGCCGGAGCCGGAGTTCGTGACGAAACGAAGGGGATGATACGCCGTGTATAACGCGGTCGCGAATTGCGGCAGACGGGCAGCGCGCACGCTCTTTTTCCGCGGTGCGGCGCACCCGCGGCTGGCGATCGATCGATTGAAAACTATTTCAGCGATTACCCTCCGAGATGTACGCCGGAGGGAAATACCGGGTATCAAGAGAGAGAGAGAGGGAGAGAATGAATTCAAAGAAGGAAATAGCAAACAGTTATTCGGAAAATTTGATCGCAAAACATAACAAACTGTGATCATAGTCTGTTATATCGATTATAGTTTTTTCAATTTCTGTGATGAATTTGTCAGTATTATTTCTTTTAAAAGAGAGTGTGATGATGATGTATTAATCTCTCCTCTGAATTCCCTCAGATATATGTGATAATTGGTCTTAATGAGAATCTTACTCGATCTTGTCGTTTTATTATATTATGACTCCTTATTAATTTATCGTATAGCTAATGTAAGAATGTATAGATATGGAGTACTTTAAGATAAGATATATATTATAATTTGATACTGTAGCGAATTTATTCTCAAAATAATAATTTCCTTGCGCATCCGTGTAATATTAATTTACTGTCGCTTTATTTAAAAAAAAATTTACCTTGTTTTTTTTTTTAAACAATAGTAATCCACGTTTATTACAACTTTCTAATTTATTTTTCTTTTACATATCTGCTTTTATATTTTTCTCACATTTTATGTTCTCCAAATTATCTCTCTTTATTAAAGTACGATCCATGTCGAATTAAACGAGAACTAAGTCACTTATCTGTATAATCTTAATTCTTAATTCGTCTGTCTATTATTGCTAAATCATGCAGCAATTAAGTCGATAAAATTTCAGCTGAGTAAAAGTCGAAGGTGCATTATCTTATTCGGAATACTTTTAACACATGTTGGAAGGTAACGCACGGAAGCCCTGTGAGCGGTGCGCTGAATAGGAATGTTTCATTTATGCATCGCGACATTCGCGACAAAAGCGATAGAGGCCGTATCGAGAATGTATATGTGCTGACGCACAGGTAATAGAATGAGGGTCGCAATAATGCAAAGGGAGGAATGGGGTCGGATCGATCATTGATTCTGACGTGGTGGTAGAGGACACTAGTGGTGGCAGGCGTTCGATTTCCAGAGGGCTGTCGATCCCTGTTGTTTGCTCAGTACCATTTGTATTCCATTGAGAGTGTCGGAGGTGGTTGGCGTATTGGTCTTATTGTTCTGGGTAATTCATCGAGCTCTCATTGTATTTATAAAAATATTGTCGGTGAACAGAGTGTATGCTCATTGAGATTACGGCCGTGAATGATTGTGTAAATTGAAATGACTGTATCTCGGTCAATACCTCTAAATTGTATACGTAATTAGGTCGAACACGTTTCGGATTTACGAAATTTCGAATGTGCGAATCTCCAATCCTCTCAGAATTTCACATTTTTTTTCCATTGACGTATTTTCCATTTCGTGTATTATCCATGAATTTTTTTTAAATTAAAATTTCTGTACGTGACATAAATCAACGCGCTTCAATTTGCGAAACTATATTTATAGTACAGCAGATTAAAGATCTTGCGTTTAAAGATAACAGAAACGGCCCCCCGTCGAAACGCGATTTGCTGCTTGAAATATTTTATTGTAAAATTATTATGAGGCTATAGAGATGTGCACTAATTGTGGTAAATTGACCGAAATTGAACGAGTAGATATTAAAAGCTGCACATGGGAGTGTGTCACATAATCGATCGGCTAGTTACATTTTAAAAAGTCCGACATGTCCCCCCATAAAATGAAGTACGTTTTCAATGTTTTATCGATTGTGGTTATTACAGTTTAAGTTCGCTGAAGATACGCGTTGAATTCCCTGCGGTGGACTTTAGCGAGAATTTTCTATGAAATATAAAGAGGATTATGCCGATTAAGATACAAAATTTACATAAATATAGATTGTTTATTAGATAACTCGTTATCTCTTTTTCAAATCATGCATGTGCAAATAAATCTTTCTTTCATTGTTTAATTTAAAGATTTTCTCTGAAAAGTAGCTGCTAAGACAATATTTCCTGTAGCACGACAAACTAAGAATCTTAATCCTTCGTCGGCAATGTGCACCCTTTATCTCCACAGTCTCGGTCTTTACTAATTGCAATATCATTAACGATTTTATATTAAACTTTTGTGCCGAAAATATAAATTTATATTACATAATGACTTTTTCTAGGACAGAGTGGAAGATAAATTCTTTTAAGAACGAAGAGATTTTCTTTCCTTCTCACCAACGATTCTCGTATTAAGGTTATGCATTCCGCAATTTATTCGATTTACTATCTATCTATCACGAGAACGATGATCCTCGGCACGATTCGTGGAACTGTAAAGCTCCTTGTTCGTATCGCTGCTCCCTGTATATATCCATCGACAGTTTTTCAAAGAAAATGGAATATGACAATGGTGTGGCGGCAGCAGAGGCGGTTCGTGCAAATCAGTCGAATCGTTTCCACGTCGAGTCTCGTTCGTCTCTTGTCGCTTCCGCCTGTCTTGGCCTTCACTTTCGTCTTTCCTTCTGGGAGCAGTGCGCGTGCACGCGCGCACAATGTCAGATTCTCAGACCAAGCCGATTTACTGCGCTCAACAGATAAACGTACCGCCGACGTTCCCGCACATTCTGAAACTGTACGCGAAGGCAGCGATTCGCACGCAGCCGAACGACCTTCTACGATGGACCGCCGCGTATTTCCGCGCTTTAGCGAACGGCGAGGTGCCTCCGGCGAAGGTACATTCCTTTTTGTACAAACACGTCGTTCCCGCGTCAGTCGAGCTTTGCGATCTCTTTTTCTATTCGTATTACCTTCCCTCGGATCCATTATTCATCGTGCAACATGTGCAATTTTATGTTATGAGGAAAACTTGACTTTGAAAAAACCAACCTAAGGATTTGAAACTTTCCGAGAAATTTCAAAATTAGACTTACGTGTTGTATGTAAACTGAGAAAAAAATTGTTGGTATTTGTAACTATATGATTATATATTACTACAATTATGATTTGTAGATATATTCGTTATAGTTATTATAACCATAAAAATGGTGGAAATTAACATAAAAATGATTCAAATTGTAATTTTATAATTTATAATTATTTGAATCGCGTTTTTATGCTAGTTTCAACTACATTTTTATAGCGCGCAGTAATAATCATAATCATAGTGATATGTAATTACAATTACAAATACCAACAATTTTTTTTGTCAGTGTAGGACTTTATCGGAAAATTTTTTTAATCTAAAAATGTACATTGTAATAAGGTTCAATATGTTTTTAAAGCAACTAATATAAAGAAACAGGGCAATGTGAGCCACAATAAATTAAGTTAAAAAAATCTTTTAAATTAATTTTTAATTAAATATTGCGAAGAATATCACGTAATTGTGGCGTTTCGTCCCAGCTTCCACTACTGGACTCATTAGTAAGGCATTGTAGTGGAAGCCTACCTTATACGCCTGTAGGAGTTGTAGCCTATAAGTAATTTTTTAAATCTATTTCTCGTTTTATAGCAAGTTTTCCTTAAAGAAATACATATGTACGTAGAAGATACCAGATATGTGTAAATATAATATTTAATAGAAAAAAGAAAAGAGAAATATAATAATTATAATCTTTTTTTATTGCTGTAATCATCCTGCGCGATGTTATTTGTCGTTGTTAACCCAATTTTAATTTTTTTCTTCTCAATTCTTTAAACTCGAACAGCTGAAATACTTATTAGAAAATATTTCTAAAAATATTTGGCGCAAGGAAAAAGTTAATGAAAATTCCTTTCGCGCCGATCGATCTATTACATTGCTCTTGAGAATATTCATTATTATATTATTCGTAAAGCGGGTCAAAGTAAGGCACATTCATCTCCGGAGTTCGTCCATCCGCGTTCTTCCAATGGATGTCTGTAATTATAAGTTTGTGCAATTCTAGTTGTAGGGGATAACAGCATTAAAGAGAAGTTACGAACCGGTAAGCTGCGCGATCTTTCTCTCTAACGCAATTGATCGATAATTAAAAATTAAAATTCGCGGCATCGAAATATATTTTAGAAGAATTATAAGTGAGAGAATTAACTTTATTAGAGAATTGACTATATTAATTCTTAAATATTCAATGTTCGTAAATCATTTCCGTTGTAATTATATTAACCGCAATATGTATTATTATTCTCGTTATTAATAGATGCCATTTATCATTATTCGTGCGTTATCGACAAATTTACAAACTTTTCGTACAATGCAATTTAATGAATATAATTGTTGCATAGGTTGACGAAATTAATTCCATAACCAATCAAGTTCTTTATAATATCATATTGATTGTCTTTATTTTTAATTTTATTTGCGCACGATTTATTTTTATAGATATTAAATGTTTCGTGAATTTTCGGAATTTTGTTAACTTTGACTTGTTACAAATTAAATATATATCATCCTCTTAATGAAAAGTTTACCTCAAATTGGCTTTAACGAACGTTATTCTATCTTTTACTCAAAAGCTTGCTTTGCTAAAGCTTTTTGACGTTAAATGTTAAATAACTCTTCAATTATATACCATATAGCTTAAATGTTCACGAACGCGAAATTGGTTTCAATTTTGTCAAATTATATGTTGCTAAAGTTATATCGATGTATCCTCTCATGAAACGTCCAGTGTACTATATATCTCTTTCCTCCCTCTTCTTCCCCCCCCCCCCCTCTCTCTCTCTCTCTCTCTTGCTCATGACGTTCGTGCATTTTACCGATTAATTTACAGCGCGCGTAATCTAATTTGCAACTATTATTCACAACAACGCGCGCACGCGTCATCGTTATCATTGTTAACTGGAATTCCTCGTTTATCTGCGGCATATCGCGTTACCGCGCAGCTGACACGCGATACCTGCTTACAGCGCAATACTTGCAACGTATGCATACGTCGCTTTCAGAATAGGAAGCGAACGATGGAGAGAGCGCTGAAGACAAATATCAGCGTAATTCGTGCTTCTGGAAGCGAGAGGCGTTTCGGCGGAAATGCCGCGCGACAGGCGCGTCTATAGTGCTCTGGTGAAACCGATTTGTAATAGCTTCACGTTGCGCATTATGTATACATACGTGCGACGTGGACATTATCGATGACCGAACTACGGCCGATTGGTAACTGGCCGTGAATATAATCTCAGCCACCGCGATATTGTCCCTACGTAGGACAGATTGGAGTATCCACCCTTTGTACACCCCTCGGGCATCACGCCCGGCTATCTGAAGACCCTGCTCAACAGATTCGGCTACGTGAACAAGGTCCGCCTGAGAGCCCTCCTGCTGGACTGCCAGGGGTTGGATCTACCCGAGACGAGTCTTTATCAGCTTTTTATGGTCGTCGGTTTATTGGAGGATAAAGAGTACTGTGATTTCTATCGATTCCTCGCGGTCGCCTGTGGATTTTTAGGAAATGTGAGTTGTAAGCGTCATACTGGTTGGAACAAATCTCTTTATAGCGTGTTCAACTATATCTGATATCGAGGTCGGAAAACTTGATGAATTTTTCTCTTTTGTTTTTTTTTTGTGAAAATATCGCATTTTTTCAGAAATATTGCTTTTTATCAATCCATTAGCATGTATCATTGTTACGTTATGCTTTGTAACGTAATATATATATTGGGAATATCTATTATACTGTGAACAGATACATTTTTGTATTTGCGAGAATTTCTTAAACATAAAACTACAGCTAACTTTAGTTTTATTATTAAATTAAATAAAATTATTTTTTTTTATTTATTACGGATTAATGAAATACAAATGGATTATATATACATATTCAATAATGGAATTGTATAACGAAATGGAAAATGGAGTGTTATTGAATAGTGTGTGTTATAAAATTTTATATATTGTGAAAATTACAATTATAGAACAACTAAAAATGTAATAGCGATATTTACTAATTTATATGAACAACATCTGTCAACTTTTTAACTTTTAACAAAGCAGTAATAATAAAAGAGCCATTAAGTGTATTGGGCATTTACAATATGTAATAAAACAATTTAGAATCACGATTGATTAAAAGATGCAGTATTACCTTGTTACATATGCATTACAATTTATATTGTTTAATCCTTTTGGCGAGAAATACAGAGGATAAAAATTTTAACAAAAATAGAATTATTAACAAACAGGTGAAATATTTTTGTTCGTATTTTTTACACTCAACATACACATACATATAATATCGATAAAATATTGATAATATTAGAAATACGAAAAAGCTTTTGAAAATTTTAAAATACGTTTAATGAAAATCGTGAAATGTATTTTCTTTTCTGCGTTTTTATACAGCAGTATATCTTACGTTAAAAGAATTTAATCAACTCGGAATTAAGTGAACGTCATCAGGTTCGGTTATAATTTACGTTACGTTACGACCGCTTTAGGATCTTCTCGAGACGATGATATACGTATGCGAGCTCCTAACGCATGAGCCGGAAGGCGGCTCGGCCATGATACCCTTGAGGATTTTCCTGGATCTCTACGGATATCTAGCGGATCTCGATTGCGGTGGCGAACGTCGCAAAGCCGAGCGCGTCGATTCCCCGTGTGACACGTCCACGTCTGTCTCGAAAGCGTCGTCCGGCACGATCGATTTGACGATGAGAGCCCGCAGCTGCGAGTTCGCAGCGGAAAAGGTATCTGCCAGTTGCAGCATTTCTCTTCCGGTTAAATAAAATATCTGGTCTGAGAGAGTAATTTTTCGTTTTATCTCATTGAATCGTGAAAAAAATCGTTTCGCAGCGACCATTAATGAGATAGTTCTGGAATATCCTATTTTTTCCATCATCCGCGCGATATTTTTCTGTCGGAGAATTTATAACTTTATTAAGAAATAGGTATAAGTGTCGATTGGAAGGAAGTGTATCCGAACAGCTTGCAGGAAAAGTGAGCACGTAGCGTCGTCTTCGTAAAATTTTTAACTTACAATTTTATAATGCACAAAGTATCGAGGACGGAAAACATTTATCAAAGATTCCGTAAATAATTCGGGATGATTCGTGTATAATGTTTGATTGATACATATTACATACAGTACAAAAATACTTTCTCAGAAATAAGCAGCTTACGTGCGCATTTGTCGTTGAAATAGACTTGACTTATATCTTAGCATGATTCTGAACAGATTTGACATTTATTTATAACTCATGCAAGTGGAGCTATTTAGATTAAAGCATACATAACGTGTACTTTAACCAAACGCTACATTGTAGTTTTGTGGATATAATTATAACAAAGTTATGACCGTCTTTCTCTGAAAGAGAACAATGCAAACGGTTCATGTACGTCTCTGCATATTTTATAATGATTTAATAATTATACAAGGTGCATTTTCATTTATTCGGTGGATATTTAAAAGGAAGCTTTATCGTTGTGACACAAATTCACCTTTATTAATTATAATATAATTTAACAATATTTAAATAACTGATTAATTAAGGCATTAATATGACATGCTAATAATTCTCTATTTTGACGCATAAATATTAAATTGATACATACATTTAGTATTATGTTGAAATAAATAGATCGCAATATATGTTGGACTCGTGATATGAAAGTTACAGTTGGGAAATTACAGGCATGTAATAACGCGCGCGTGATGAGTAAAATTTAATAAATTTTCGGAGTAAAATTTTGCCAATAAGTCTGCGTATGCGCGGAGTAAGCTGCTTTTCCTGTACAATATCCACTCTGGACTGCTAACTACTTCTCATTACAAGCAGTGCTGCATATTTCATATACGCATTTGCGTTTCGGACTCGCTTTTCGGAGCAAGCGCAAAATTAACCGGTTCACATGAAGATTACGGAAAATATTAACAACTCCGCGTAACTTTGTACGGAAGTGACTTGGAAATTTCGGAATTAATGCATCGTGATCGTGGACTTTACGCAGTACCACGATAATGTAAGAAGATTATAATCCACGCTGTATAAAGTACATGCGTTAAATTAAATTGCGAATATTAAACACATCTATTAGAATATACACATTTGATAAGATTCTAATCTTTTTAGTATTCGTATGTGCACGCTTCTGAAAATATTTAGTTTACAATTCTTTTGAAAATTTTTTTGAACATTTTATAGAAATTTTATAATTTTTGAATAATGTTAGGATCGTTGAATCTTAAAATTTTGACAGTATTAGAAATTAAAAAAAAAATAAAATTTTGTGAAATGCAAATTTTAATTACATTTATCATTTTTTAACGAGAATATCGACTATTAAATATGATAATTGGAATGCATCGCAAAGAACGATCATTACCTTTATCGAGACAGATAATTTCTGTCTGTTTACATCTCGAGACGTTGCGTCTTTATTGGATGATGGACTTGTATTCAATCAAGTACATATTAGGAAGAGGCGAGAAGCACTGATGAGGATGTTTGCGGGGAAGCATCTCACGAAAAGCGACCTTCGGAGAGCCCGGAGATCTTGAAGGATTATGGGGATGACCCGGAGCACTCCGACATCGACATAGTGTTGGCGAGACAGTCTGTCGCTAGCGATAAAACCGAAATTGAGATCGAATCGATTGATGGTTACGTTTTCCAAGGAGGGACGAACGAGGTAACGCCGCTGGGCACGCTGGGAAAACGCCGGAAAAACGATCAGTCACTTTGAATTTTGTGACCGGGCGATTACATCGTAAAATATCTCACCCAATATCTTCGATCTGTGAAAAGTAGACTTTAATCTCGATAGATGTACTCCTTTGTATGATAATACTATACGTGGAAATAAGTAGCGTTTAGATGTTTTTAAATACTTAAAGATCTTTCGAGAGTGCAATCTATATGTGAGAATTTTTATTTGATCATTTATATTTACTAAACAGCGAATATACTGTGCGTATATAAGTTTAAGCGGTTTTACCGTTACGGCATCGTTTATTAAATTCCAATTGCCATAATGAAAGGTCGAATATTTGTTTAGTCGACGGTCGAGGCGAAGTTCGAGAACGTCACTCCTTCGATCATTGATCTTCTCGAACATAATAGCGATACCAGCAGCGTTGATGCGCAAGAGACAACTAATGATGCATTCGAGTTTAACTACGAGAGCGAGGAGGGAGTCGCGAGGGAAGCGATTGATTGTGAAACTACGACTACTTGGATCGATCCTAAAAACTCGCCAGAGATCTGCCGTTGCCGCATCGAAGCTGAAAGCGACCAGACGCCACCGACCAATCCTCTGAAAGAATTCCTGAAGAGGATGCGGGCGGAGATAGAAGCGGGTCGTCTGGAAACAATCTTCCGGGTATCTGGAATTGGTCCGCCGGTGTCGTCCGAGCGTGTAACAGCTGTTGGATTGTGGCTGGCGGACTGCGCGCGTCGTCAAGAGGGTCTGGTCGGGCCGCGTAATATCCGCCACTTTCTCTGTCCGAATCTCAATGATATTCTGGAGTGTGATTGCACCTAACTATCGCAGAACGTTTTATTACATGTCGTTTCCGCGATGAGAACAATCAGATGATTAAAGTGATTTTTAATCATAAGATCTTATAATATTACTCACGTTATATATACGAAGAATAATGAAGAGAATAGGATCTAAAAGTTTCTCAATGTTGAAAAAATATCCGTATCTTTTATTAGATTAAATAAAATTATTGCATTAAGTATAATCACAAAATTGTTATATTGTATCGTTTTAACAATTTCATTATATTGAAAAAAATAATAAGTTTGATCTACTTTTTGTATGACATTTGTAATTATTACATAATATAGATATAAATTAGAGCTTTCTATTACAGTTTCTATGTCGTGTTTCATTTTGTTATACATTATCGGTGTTGTATAATTACCTTTGATTTGTAATTATGCATATAGTTGCGGTTGAAACATCACAATATAATATCGAATAATATTTATCTTGATGTGGCGATGATTACTATTATCGTAAAAGGACGAATGAAATCAGTAGCTTGAAAAACACACACAACGTTAAATTACGAATTGTTACATCATTCACAATTTTATGCCTATTCTTATTATAGGTGTTTCTGTCTGTTACACGTATGAGAGAAGTAAACTAATAGAACAAACAAGTAATAGAAGAAAAGTGGTAGATCTTCTCCCGTGACGAGACAGAAATAAACGTATAAAATCTATCTCCTTCAGAATAACGGAAGTGATCGATATTCTTTGGGGAGGAGACCTGTTATTTTCCATAACCGCCTGTTCCAACATGCGTTTTGTCAATTCGTCGTATCGACTACCATATCGGCAACAACAACTTGGCAATCGATTATTGGTCTAGTTATTATTGGTATCACGGTTTGCACAATATTGACGTATGCCGGTCAGCTTCAGGCTTCATAACCCACTCACTCTACTCGCGCTCACCTCTTCTAGCCCTATGGGATTTACTTTGATATCAAATACTATCACACGATCGCGCTATCGAAACAAACAGTGTACAAGCACGTGCTTTTGAGTGTACACTGCATTCACTTTAAGGGTGGCGCTTAATGGAGACTGTCACTCTCGCCAGTTCGACCACGGGGGAAAAATCCAGTTGAAGCTATACAGAGGCTGATGAGGTTTCGTTTGTTTTCAGGATGAGAGTACCCATTTAAATCTGCATTCGAAACTCGCGTTCCTCTACGGAGAAGTTTGCTTGTGGAAATGCTATTTCAGAAACATGTATTTTTTGTGCGTCACGAATGATTAACGTTCTCATCGTGAAAATAAATGTGTTTGAAGTTTCCACGTATAACTTGGTTACACGAAACTTAATTCTTGCCTGAATCGAAATTCGTATATGGTTATTCATTGATTGATTTTATTAGCGATGAATAAATTACTCAGGATTAGGTAAATTCATCGTTTAGGTAGATCGTTCTCTAATTTATTTTCAGACTGTCAATATTTAATTAGAAGAAAGATGACTTACGAAGTCTCTTTCTCAAGTAAATAATTGTATACATTTTTTTCTTTTCAATACACGCTTGTTGATTTTGTCTCTATTTCTCTTAAAAATTATATTTGACTTTAATTATATTAAAGATTATCGCGCCAACTTTGCTATTCGTTTGGTGTGGCGTTCTTTTTTTGGACACGTCAAAGGAGACCTTTGATAATTTCTCTTTAGAACTTTGTTATCTTGAAGTAGATTAATTCCATCGCGCAGGAAATGCAAATGTCCGGGGCAATAGTTACCTGTTTCGTACGCCAAGCATAACCCGAGCGATTAGATGGCTTAAAAACGAAATGGAGCGCAAGGTTCTTGTTATACCGTATAAAAGGGAATCGTTTTTTCTACTTTCGTTAGAACCACAATAGGATTTCGTTGCGATGACTTCGACTATTGTGCTGTTTTCCGTGCTTTTGTTACTATCCCAGAATATCCGCGGATGGCATATCGCGTTTCCGAACAACAGTGAGATCGACAGCAATGAACTTCGCGAAACCACGCTTCAGTCGGCTTTTATATTTCCAGGTAGGATTTATTCAGGAGATATGGTTTTTGTCAATTCAATTATATGTACAATTCTACTTAACAAAGAAGTATATGTGATATTAAGACCAAAAATTTGTACAATATATTGTGACAAGATAAGTCATTTCGTACGTATTTGATAGAATATGTTTAGAAACTGTATTAATGACTCTGTTTTTATTCGTGGAACTTTTTGAGAACTTTGTTATTTATTTGAATTTTTATCAGGAACAAAATGGTGCGGCAGTGGTAATATAGCGGATGGCCCGAACGATTTGGGAGTATTTGCGATGACTGATGCATGTTGTCGCGACCATGATAATTGCAAAGATATAATCGAACCATTACAGACTAAGCATGGCTTGACCAATACTGCTTTTTACACGAGGTGAATCTGTTTTTTGGAATAATATTTATTTTACGTCAATTTTTTTTAATAAGATGATAGATTAAAACTGAAATATTACTTGAATTTTGTTGAAAATTCTTATATTCTTAATTTTTCTTACAAGATGCCTCAGCAAATGAAAAGGTCAAAGTTTATCGATCCTTGATATCTTTGAGTCTATACTTAATATATAGATATTTTTGTATATAGACATTTATCACGTGTGTATGCTATTATTTTTATATGATAAAAGCATGTTAATTTTATCAAACATATAATCGGTTAGGAAAAAATACTATTTACTAGTAATAAAGAGAGAAAGGGTTTACGAGCAAACAAATTCGTTAAAACATTTAATTTTATTCTAATATATTGCAAATATTCTTCGCAATATATTAGAATAAAATTAAATGTTTTAACGAATTTGTTTGCTCGTAAACCCTTTCTCTCTTTATTATTGATTTGAAAAACTTAACGAGCCATCTCACTACATGTTTTACTATTTACTAGCATCAATGTATAAAGAATATACTATATTTGTTCTCTTTTTTTAGGATGCACGTAATGTATTATAGTTATTTTGAATTACACGTACTCATGTCGTGTTACATATATCGGTAACAAATGGAAGCGTATAGTTAAACATTTAAATACAATATAAAAAAGCTTTTTATTGTTGAATACGAAGTACCTGAAAATGAAAAAAAATTCATATTTTGGTATTTTTTTGTCTATGAGTGTTATTACGTGCCGCATTGATATTATATCATGCGGAAGATTCAATTGTAGAAGAAAGTCAATGAACTAGTCCGCAGTAGTGAGTCTGTTGTACAATTTCACGCAACTAGAACAATTACCAAGTTTCGTGCGTGTCTTGCTATAGTTGCGGCTGACGTTTGACGTTGATATACGACGTAGCGCATTATTACAAACTTGGTATATTAATTACGTAGGCAATTTTTTACGATACGCGATAGGATGGAAAAAACGTTTTTAAAAGCTTCCCTTATAATACATTAAAAATTATGTATGATTACTGGGTCAGTAATTTGAAGTTATTTCAAAAATATCCAATATTTTCGTTAACTGGAATGTGATCATAGAATATATAATTTTGTGAAAAACACATCAGGATATATTAAATAACTCTTTTGCGAGAAAAGATAACGCAGTATTGATCGTTTATATTAATCCTAATGAAAAATATTTAATAGTCGTATATGTGAAAAAACACACGCGAAAAGAACGTTATCCAGAATAGAACGTTCGTTAATTGTTGATTTCTGTTAGCGTTCTAAGACGCAAAATAAAACACAGGCTTTAGAACAAGAGTGGACTAAGCTCGTAATTTGTGAGCTTTACTGTAGACATACGACTAAGTGTTTAAAAAGTAGACTTTTCTCTTAGTTCGGTCTTATTTTAAATCCCGCAATTATCTATTACAATCTTATTCTTATTTCTCAATTTTAAAACACTTCTTATAAACATTCTCCGTATTCTTATGTACAATCCTATAAGTAAGCTTAAATTGAAATGAAGCGAGATCGCTTTTTGTAGCAAGTAATCTGATAAAGGATCGTGAAATGTACAAAATCAGGCTAGACTGTTCGTGCGACGAGAGGTTCTACGATTGTCTCCACAGCTCGGAGGAACTCGTTAGCGCAAAGGTTGGCTTCCTCTACTTCAGCGTGTTAGACACGAAGTGCTTCCGCGAAGACTATCCCATCGTTGGCTGCAACCGGCATTCACTGTGAGTCGTAAGCGTATTAGAGCCTCGCGAATAGCGAGTCGATACTCGATTTTCAAATGGGTCAGGTATTTGCGAGAGATTCATCGATTTTTCTCACGATTCTATGCATTTAATACGCATGTACGGATTGTATTCAGTCTGCAGTTTTATTGTTTTCTGATCATATTCCGATATGTATTGCATCGGGAATTATATCCGTGTAAATATATTTTTCGCTTGAAATTGGATCCGCGTAATATTCAGCGACAAAGTATTTATGTTTTCTTTTCCAATATATTTCCGATATGACGTACACTATTGGAAATGTAAGACAATTTTATATACACGTACTGTATTAGAGTATGATTCGAAAAAGCGACGTATTATCGCGAGTGTTCGAAACTTTTAAGAACGATGTGCTAACGATCTCTTGGCAGCATTCCTAGACGTTGTTTGGAGTACGAGCTGGACGAAAGCCAACCGAAGATGTATCAGTGGTTCGACGTACCCACGTATTTTCAAAACGACCACCGGATGGTGATGGCCGATCGTCATATTCGATCACTCGATTCCGGCACTTCATTCGCAGACCGATAGAAGTCTATTTTGTGGAACCACCGACCGCTGGAGGAAACGTCATACGCGTGTAAAGCCATACAAATTCGCAATCGACCAGGCCTGTCAACGTAGTTAAATAAGCGTCAATAAAACCGCTCTATATATGAACGCTTTATTCTTGCTGTCTCTCCTTTCTTTTTCGTCCCTTAAATGCGCATTAGATTTCTGATGCGTTAAACCGGAAAACGCATGTATGCGTACACAAGAATGCGGGTCGACTGTACAGGGTAGATGATCCATAACAGAAATTAAATGAGGGTTATTAAATGTACCAATCAACTGCAAATTGGTAAAGGCGTCTCATTTTACGGTTGGCTTAATAAAAGTGACAAAAATAAAAAATGTACTTTCCATATATATTCTCATGTTCAAATATTTATTAAGAAGGAATAACTTTGCCCCTCACATCACTTGACGTTTCTGATGATGAATGTTTCAATGATAAATCACAGAAGTTACAACTTCTAACAAGCACGCTATAGGAAGATGTTAGCACGAAAAACACATACCTACACACAGTCGCAGCAATTAAAATTAGCAAAATAACATTTCTCCGAATTCATCGTAACATTATCTATCTCCGCCGTGCTTCATTCGCTTTACAATGTAGCAATAAGTCCTGTTGAAACCCCACTAAATCATTTCAACGTAATCGCCTGTTATCGGATCCGAAAAAAAAAAAAAAAAAAAAAAAAAAGAATACAAGCTACGTTAGCACGGAAGAAAACGAGAGGGTTGGTCCATGGAGCGCTGTGAGACGGGAGATAAGCGACGAGGGTCGAATCGGAAGTGGAAGAGGGAGCGGCCCGCCTCTCCTCTTCTCGCCTTCTCTTCTCGCTTTTCCGAGGCTTTCCTCCATTTTACGCGAGGCCGTGCGGGCAGCTGGCGCTTACTCCGGGATTTGCTCGGAAATTTATGTCCGGATGGAGCGCAGTCGCGCCGCCGTCCCTCGCGCCGCCAGCAGCGTCCTCCGGCCTCTACCACCGATTTACAACTTCTCCGCTCACCTGCGCCAACTTTCGGATGCGCGTGAGCGCGCGCCAGCTCTCCAACCCGGCGCGACTCCATTCTTCGTCGCGTCGTGTACCATCGATGCGATAGGAAAAATTGTCGACTTCGCGTTGAACGCCGTGATTTATTGCCGGAGAAATCGCACGCCGTCGCCGTCGCCGTCGTTGAAGGCCAAGGCGCAACGTGGAACGACGGCAATAATGTTTAAGAGCACGAGATGTGTACGGAATATTTACGGAATTGATGAGTAATGGAAAAATATGAAATAAAGGATAATATAAATGCCCAAAGATTAATTAGTTAGACATTCTTAAAAACATTTGAGAAACATAAAAATTTGACTGCAATTTAGGCGACTTCGAATTATAGATACTATAGAAACACGCTTTACAATATTTTCGTTGTTTTATGTGAAAATACAAGATATCATTTATGTACTCGACGTAAAATATCGACCTGTGTGATCCAAACTATCCTGATTACATTTTATAATTTCTATGAAAAAATCGTGCTTTATATTATTAAACGCATTTAAGTGGTCAGTATGGAGATGCTAATACATTGACAACTAGTTGTAAATCAGCAGATTGTAACCAACTAATTTTAACGCGAGCAGACTGGAGACTTGCGGTTTAATCATGTTGTTTCTTTTTGTTTTTCTAGACGTGGCGGCATCAGTGGAGGTTCACTTTGAGAATAAAGACGGTGGATTCTTTCTAAAGCACATACCGCGGCAATATTATCCGGCCCGCGGTACGTCGGACACCATCCCGCCGCTCTCGACAAGTGTATCGAATAACAACAACAATAATGCGGGAAGCGCGGTACCGTCGCCGCCGCCTGGCTCTATCCTCTCGATCGACAAGTTTACCGTCTTCCAGACGAGCGAGCCGGTATCGGTGCGAGCCACGTACGGTCCTTTCAGCACCAAACAGACCGTACCGGCGCGTTACATCGTCCCCGATCCATTGGACGCGCTGCCAGGACCAGAGACACGACGCAATCTCACAGCAGCAACGATCCTTGACGCGCAGGAACTCGGCACTCGTCATCTGGATATGTCAGCTCACCTGGTGGGCAACAGCGTGCCGCGCGATTCGCCCGTGCTCAGGGTGCTCTTCCATGCCGGTAGCGAGGCCGGGGGTAGACGTCAGCTGCTGATGGCGCGGCATCAGCGAGTCTGTGTGGTGTTGCACGCCAGCCTGGCCAGTCCATCACGGGGCAATGCAGCAAGTAGGAGCAATGGACATGGTTACTCTTCTTCCTCTTCGTCCTCTTCGTCATCCGCGCTCACGGCCGCCTGCAGCCCCGATGGCGAGAACGGCGTATGCCTCGCGCAGATCACCATCCCGGCCGATTGGTGGGCACCGTTACCGCCGCCCGATGCTTCCGGTCGTGTCAAGGTCGCCAAAAGTCTGCCGCGATTGATTCAGGTTGCCTACTCCGTGCTGGAACCGCGTACGGAGGAAGGAGGACTTGGTGCCGGCAACGGTGGCGGCAGTGGTGGTGGTGGTGGTGGTGGTGGTGGTGGTGGTGGTGGTGGTGGTGGTGGTTCGGTCGATGCTACCGGTGAATCGGGTTTCTGTAGACCTCGGGTACAAATACAGCCGGTTACCCCTCTAGGCCAAGTACCGCTCGCGCCCAACAAGGCGGATTACAAGGAACTTAGGGCGGATGATTCGTTGACGTTGTTGGTGCCGCACGGACCGCTCTATCCGAGATCCAGGCTGCACATCCCGGCCTTCCTGCATCCCGTTAAGGTGACGGATCCGCGGCAGGAGCGACCGCCGTTGATCGTCACGGTTTATTTAAGGTAAGCAAGCTTAGCGAGCTTCTCAGGAATCTGGAGAAACGACAGTAAACTTCATCTACTTAGAAATAAGAGAGGTACTTATCAAGACTTCATCATTTGCGATAGCCTACAAATTAAAATCAAAGTAATATATGGTATAGAAAGAAGGAAAAATAAATTAAAGTGGGAGATTGTCAAGCCGCCGGATTCTTTCCTTCGTTTGTTAACTCTCGTTTTCGTATAGCTATATAAAAAATACGTTGATCAAAGGTAAATTCGTAAATTTTCGTCAGCATTAATTGTAGAATTGCTGATGTCGGATAAACGCGCTTTGGAAATATGCAAATAAACTCGTGATTAGCGCCGCGCCGGCAAATATAACAAACACGCTCATGATATCTCGTTAAACCACTTTCGCGCAAATAAGTGATTAAATGCGAGAGTCGCAATTTCCGCGTGGAGATTCACTTTGCATGTACCTTTTTTTTTTTTAGTCGCGTGCGTCTCCCGGAAAGCGCTTTTAAATCCCAACTCGAGGGGACCACTTCTCGCGCGGCCGGAAAGTGGGTCGGAAACGTACCGTTGGGGAGGGGCTGGAATTCTCTAATTGGATGAATTGTCAAGTAAGCAGGCGGGAAGTTACAAGCTCGTCTGTTGTTAGTAAGCACTCGAAAGTTCTGCGACTGCAACTAACACGCGGGGTACACTCGAGCACGGACAGTGCAACGGCAGCCAATCCGCGTGAGAAACGCATTGTTGGCTCTGTAACACACCATTGGGAATGCAAGAGCCGGTGTCGTCGGGATAGGACTTTTTGCGTTGAATAAGCACGAAACACTTGAACTAACACTATAAGTCGCAGATATTGAAGTTCCGTGGTATAATGTCACGTGTAAGGTGCATAGAGGTGAATTATATAGCGAACTATGAGTCGCGCAAAATCTTCATCCACTTCATTCTATTATAGTAAAAAAGTACGTCGCATTCAAGACTCGTATGTGCTAAAGGCTTACATAATTAATCGGTTAACCTATGCCGTTGTGTATTTACGAGTGGTATCGCGAATATCGCAAAAATAGATTAGCATTTCTCTGATAATTTAAATATTTTGAATTTTACTTTCTGTGTGTGTTATAATAATCAGTTCGCGTGAAATTCTTTATTCGTACCATTATTAATGAATTTAAAATCTGTTGCTTGAAATATATATATATATATATATATATATTAATTTTGCGAAATGTGTGGAAATACTGTTTTAATTTAAAATTTATAAATTTTAGTATTCAGTAATATATTTTTTTAATGTAACCATGAATTACAGCATAATGCGTGAAGGTATATCAAAGATAATTTGGCGGAAGTTTGCGAAAACCCTTCCAAAATTTATGAACCGCTTAAAAGGCTATTGCATGCACTTACGCGTGTTGTTATGATAAAGACTTCGGCGTTGTAGCGTCGACGTCGGTGATATTGCATATACATAGTGGCTTTAAATAATTAATGAATTAATAAACAATTAAATAGTAAGTGAGAAAACTCTACAATTAGTTACACCATCGCGATAAAAGCTTTTTAATGTCGTAATACAAATATTTTAAAATATTATATCCATCGTGATAATTGTATAATATCGGAAAATCGATCGATTTAAAGAAATGTATAATTATTTTAACATATTTTACATCATATCGTCATGTAGTCAATTCAATAATCGTATCTCTCTTGTTGATTAATGTGAATTTTTTCTTGATAATAATTTTTATTAGAGGCTAGTTTCTACGCTACTTTCACAGAGGATAAAGCACTCTATGGCAATTTCTTGTGTGGGAATATACGAGACCGCATTTTTTATCTCTCTTTCTTCTTTCTACTTTAGTTTCATACGAATTGCGCTTTCATTCCCCCTTTGAATATAATGTTTTGGTGACCATGTTGAGTTTATTTATTAATTGCACAGAAATATAATTTAGACTATTTTTTAGCAATGTCGCAAAAAGTAAAATATTAATGAATAAATTTAATCCTTGTTGCAGGGAAGCTTATTAAAATCTCGTCGAATACAAATTAAAAGCTCCTTCATACATCATAAACCATTTGTATGATTAGTTTCTCTTTCGTAATATCACAAAATGGAGAGATTACGCAACTTATTTATTAATTTTCACGACTTAATATTTTATAGAGAATTAATTATTATTATGTTATATTTATTAAAACTTTATCTGTTGCGCAAAGAATAGTCAGGGAATTAAAACTTTATTGGTCCTCAAATTTTATAACGTTTTCGGAATATGTGTGTTTTGTATGTGTGTGTGTGTGATTCACATCCTTTGTTATTTGCTTTGCATTCGAAACGGTATGGAAGACGATAACGCGTAAGATAGGTGATATCGATAGTTGAACTCATATTGCGGAGGTTGCGGGTTATCAAGATTATCTTCACAATTTCTGCGTATTATTGATGCGATTTTAAAACAGAATGTTTATATCAGTGAGTTCTGTAGAGCTATCTGGTTTACAAATGTAGAATCTGCATAGCCTTGACGTTTGGTAATTTTGCAGAATTAATGAGATAATTATATTTTTACAAAAGTTGTGTTATGTACGCAAATAAATTCTTTATTTAATCACATTATCTGTAATGTTAACTCGTAAACATAGAAAATTTCACAAAGTTTACTTACAATATTTTTTTATTATATACATTATTTTGGAACATTTTTTAATAATAAGTTTTACGAATGTTTTATTTTAATAAAGTTAAAAACTTAATTTTTCCTGACTTTAATCACTTTGAAAATTTCATATCTCATCATGTAAATATAATTAGTTAACTATTATATAAAATTAATAATAATCTTGTATAATGTTTGACAAACGAGCATTATTGATCTCAAAATATCCTATTACTATATTATTGCAAAATTTCGTTGCCCTCTCGAAAATAGTTTGTTACGTAATATTAAATTAGATGTTTTATATTATGTATGTATGTATATATATATATATATATATATATATGTTTGTGATATACACAATATTTAATGAACGTAATTCCAGATACGAAAATTCGAGAAAAAACGCTCGTCCGAATCTCTTAAATTCTTTAAACGCGAAATTACCCCGTAGAGAAACCCTCTGAAAATACGACGAGTTGAGCGAAAATTTCTTCACGCGTTAAAGAGCTTGCTAAGAGCTAATCGTAGCCTTTGTCCGCGTCGAGGGGGGCTTTATCCTGCTTTTTATGTCTCGCAACCTTAATCTAAGGCTCTTACAGCGCCACGTTAAACCGTAGATTTCCTACGCGGCCGCCTCTTAAGCCGCACTAGTCCGACCATAGGTCTTCGCCTGTGTGAATTGCGATATTGCATTGTTCAACAATGCAACAGTTATGCAGAGTCTTTAGTTCTCCCACAATTTCCTTTAATTATAAATGCTAAAAGTTGTGAATCAAGGAAAATGAAGTTTGTTTGACATTAATGAAAATAATTTTAATCTTTTTTTTACATCTACATTTATAATTATCTTCACACTGGATTGGACGGCTGTACGATTCATGATCAGAATTATAAATTTATATATTGATCGGTTTTTTTTTCATAATACATATGGATGTTGTTCATTCTCCACAACTAAATCCACACGAGATAGTATCCCTATCAATATCGATCGATCGGCCAAAACATGAACAACTAGAAGTACCCAAAAAAAGAGAGAGAAAGAGACGCAGTCATTGAATGAATTTTAAAGCGATATTCGATCATTCGTCCAGCGTTCAGCGTGGAAATGTGCATGCATCCCGATAGCGTTCTGCGACCCTCGCTTTGCATATTGGCGATTTGTATGTAAATGCAAGATATAGGCTCGCGGAAATAACTTGATCTGAAACGTGTAATTGGTTCGCTCTTAACTCGTTCAGTCGGCGTTCTGAGCGCCGTTTAATGATGACCCAATATCCGCCCCTTTCGTGTCGCTGTTCTACTAATTCTTGCTTAACCTGCAGTTACTATTCTGTTGTTATTTGTGAGCGCGATATAATCAGTAAGAAAAATCAATTTAATAGAGAAAAGTTGCTTCGTTTTAACTTGATTCTGGTTTTGCCTTAGGAGATTTACCGTTTCTTTCGTTGTCTCTCATCTTTTTCTTATTAAATGGATATAAGTTTGATTAAGGCTCAACGTATAAGAACTAAAATTAGAAAAACTTAAAAAATTTTATAAAGAGTACGATGTTTACAGAATAAATAATATAAAAAATACGCAGGAATCGTATTTAAATAGATCGTATCCCTCTAATAATTATTTCGGTAAATGTTTATTGCAGCACTTCATCTCTTGCTTGTTATCACAGTATTGCACAAGGAGGAATAAATTGACGTTTTTGTACGTAGATTAGATTTTTGTTACGCGCATCACACGCTTTTTTCTGTTGTTGTCTGAAGCTTAATTTACTCTTAGCTTAATTTAATTAAGGTTTTAGATTCGTCGAAACAATTAAGACCGGAGATATGTAAATTAATTGCCAGAAGTCAAGACGAAGTTACTAGAGAACGTAATTACGTTTGTTTTTGTGTGTTTAAATTATGACGCTCGGGGTGGAGAACATCTGCATGGGGAGTTCTTTTCGGAGGAACGTGTGCGTGTCGTTAGTATGTGATTGTGGCGACAAAGTTAACATACAATGTGTGTGTGTATGTGTGTAACCTACGATACACTTTGCAATATGCGACACGGTATGCGCCGCAGTGCAAGCCGTTGCTGTAATGTTTGACGCCAGCGGAATTTTGAAGCGAGGCGTCCGCCAAGATCTGAAACTTGGCAGTTTGCGACCGATTAATCTGAAACTTCTTCAAAAGAGGTCATATGTAGTTATGCTAATAACGGAATAGATTATTTCTTCGTCATATATTAGTCGTAAATGAACGTTCATCGCTCGAGGATTTTTAATCGCAAATATATACTGTTGACTGCAGCGTAGTATCTCTCGTTGGATATTTTCTGGAAAAGTGTAGAAGAAATCGGACTTAGAGCGACATTTCGCCTTAGGAATATTTCATACTGGGATCTCGGGGAAATATCATGTTCCTTGTAGTCGTTTCCGCGCTTTGAATTCGTCCTTGCTGTTAATAATGTTATGGTATATAATACGCGCGTATAAGGGAAAATGCGCTCTGGTGATAAGAGACACATCGGTCCCTGTTCTTTTTCCAGGGAAAAAAGGCGGATTGAGTTATGGGAGATATTGGCAGCAAGCTTTAAATACGTATTAGCTGGCCGCTTTCTTGGCTTCGGCAAATACACCGAAGGTACTTGAAGAGGCAATATCCGGTCTGGCTTGAGCCGAAGTTTTGTATTAGCCACTCGGTGCACTTTTCTACCGCGAGATCCGCTTACCGGGCGACATTGCATTCGCGCACTTGAAAATTCTCGTTTCAACTTGAATTAAGAACGATTTCCTCGAGGCTGAAGACTAGTCGCAAACAGAGATTTAAAAAGATACATCGCTGCAGCAACGGTAGAGAGCATGTTTCAAATAAATTATACAGGTTGTAATGTATGGCATTTGATACGAGTGTTCTCTTTTCCATTTCTACTATTAAACAAAATAGTTTTAACATTTTAAATAATAATTCTATAATTCTACTGAAAATAGATATCTCTCAAAATCAAAAAAACGATTTTCCGAAAAGGAATATACAAAATCATGAATATATACACGTATATTTTGTTTTACACAGTTTCGATATACCTATATATATAGGTTGTTTACGAGGCGCACACTATTAGCATTATTGCATCATTTTATCCTTGTTTGGCATGTAATGAACGATAAAAATAGAATGACACATCAGCGCTGATATAAACGCGATCTCTGAAGCGATCGTAAAATGCCTCGATCGGATTATCGTCCAGCTTTTCTGCATCGCGACAGCGAATGTATAATATGATTTGCCGCAACCGCGGTATACCGCGTTATGTCGCATCATAGCGAATATCTATGCGTCGCAGCGTCAGACAGACGCATTTCTTCAGCCGCATTCCTCTCCTCCCTCACCATACGGTACCGACCCTATGACCCGGTCACGTAACTAGAGCGTGAGTTAGTTCGGAGCGAGGAACGCAGCCTCCTCCCTCGCGTGAGCGAATTGACTTGGCGATGATGAAGAAATGTCTCTCACAGTCGCAGACCGAGTATAAGAGATGTCTTGTAACTCTCCTCTCGCCCGGCTACGAAGACAAAGACAAACGGCATGAATGTCGCGAATTTTCCATCTGGATATGCACGTTTCCGCGTAATCATCTATGACTCTTTCATGATTGAGAATTTTTTTGACTATGCAAAAATCTCGAGATCTAAGATTCATCATATACGCTTCTTGTCACACAGTTTCTTGGGGAATCTTTTCACCAATTCAGATTAAATTCTTTGTTAATAAAAATGGTAATTTTTTGTTATTATGTGAGTAACGACACACATTAAAATAGATGCTGCTGAAATAAGATGTATCGGCTGAAAATTATAATATAAAAAAAGATATATATATATATATATACATATATATATATTAGGACAATAATTTTATTATTTATTTATTTTTTAATTGTAGAAAAACGTTTGTCTTTTTTAAAAAATGTAATTTTGTAAATTACAAAAGCATTTAATTTTTTCTATAATATTATGTCCTCTCTACTAAACATTATTTTTTTTATTCTCAAATAAATCAATAATTTTGTTTAGATTCATTTAAATTAATATCAAAATAAATCTGTTTACAAGTAGCTTTGTAACTCATGCTGTACTAGGATTTTTTTTCTCTCATATATTTCTTTCTTTTACATTTCCTCCCTTAAAACTTGTAAGAATAATCTTAAACTTGAATATCACTCGATAAAAAGATATCGGTGAAAAAGATTGTGGATGAATGAGAAGTGTCACAAACGCACACGATAAAACGTGAACTGCATACGAAATTTGCATTATTGACGCTTGCGCTTTCTTGCAGCTTCGTTTTGCGGTCGTGCCGCTTAAATTTCAATCCAGCTTTCGGAATTACTGTGGATGCGCACGCGACATTGCTTTGACGAGAAATAGCACGGTATTATTGCAATGACAACTAAAAATCGAGATGTTTGAAATACGGTACCATATATGAAGAGTCTACCATGGTGCATCAGAATCCGATCGAATGGAAATCTGATATCTACATTCGACAACTTATTATCTAACATTCGAGAATAACTGGCAAGATCGAGAGAGCAATAATTGAGTGCAATTATAGTACACAGAGTAGAGAAATTTATTTCATATTCGCATCTTTCTATTTTTTTTTCATGTGTATAATGTAACTAACTTTTAAATGTGTATTGTTATTTAAAAAATCGGCTCGCGCCTGAAGAAATGCAAGCTATATTTTGTGACTTTTGTAGGGGAAAACTCGGCGACTACATAAGTATCTATGCTTGATATTGTTAGAGCAACATGAGGGCAATGGGTCTCATTGGAAGAACTATACATTCATTCATTTTTAATGGTAGAACATAGCTAATAATACGAATGAATAAAATGCGTAGATCAATACGATGTGATATGAGTAAAAATAGCGCACAGTAGACCTGTATAAGTCATCGTTGGAAGGAAACACTTCTGAAACTTTGCATATGACTTATACTTTATACACGTACATATACACATACATAGGGGAATATTTCCCTTCGAACATATTTTTTTATGTCATTCTTCTTGCTTTTTCTTGAGTGTACTTTACGATCTATCATCTTACAATCTATCTTTACCACACTTTACTTTTACATCAAATTTAAACATTGGTCGTTAGTGGAAATTTCTGAAAGTTTACCAATTGAAAATTGATCCCCTATATTGGAAGATTAACGTACACTTCAAATTATTGAATTATAAAACAAGAATGGATAAGCCAAGCGAAACATTTCCATTTTCTTGATGAAATTCAATCAAATATTTCTTTCGAAGAATCGAAATGATATCGAAATATAGGTTATTCGATTTTATAATGCTGATACACACACACACAAACATCTTTGAATATAAATATTAAAGTGCAATGTGATCGGGCTCATGAAAACTACCTTAATTAATCTATTTTTTAAACGCTATTTGTGTGATTCGTGAATAACATTTTTGGATAAATATAAATCCAAATCGGTATTATTGCAAGGATATATTTTTGCGTTATGAAACGACCGATTTAATTATTAAACGATCACTTCTCAAATTAAATCTCTTCTCAAATTAACAAAGAGATATATTCATCTTCGTAGAGAATAAAGGATTATAATTACATATTTTGTAGGGAATTTTTTTATTCAATATTAGCGTTTCATTTCACTCTTTCCGTTCATTATTTGTCTGACGGTAAAATCGTATATTTACGGCATGTTTCAGAGCGCGAGTAAAGTCGGGCGTGAAAATCCTGGATGCTTCATCTAGCAGCCCGGACTGGATTGTCGTTAGCGATGTCAATGTGAAGAACACAGCCGCCACGTTCACAGCGCGACGTAAGGAGAACTCGTCGCGTGTATCGAGCACGTAAGTATACCTAATATATGAAGTACCCTCTTTTGGAACAGTCCTGTCGCGCAATCTACCCTCGTTAAGCCGGCATACGTCGGCGAGTTCAGAAAGACTCTTACTGAAATTGTGAACATGAGGGCAGTTAATGTAATGAGCAATTTAAATCCCTTGCTTCCGTTTGTTAAAGCAAGAATATGAACGAATTAGGTCTTGCTGCAAATCGAATAAGACAAGAATTTTCGAGCGAACGAACGTTGAAAAGTTTTGATTAAATTTTGTTTTCACTTCTGCATAGAATTTCGCTTTTTGATTTTTAAATTAACATCTTTTAGCACAAAGCGTTATTTTATAATTGAGAGAGGAGAATACAATTTAATAATTGATATCCATTTATTTTAAATTATAAAGTATACATTTAATCATATACAAATCTATTATTTTTTTCGCAAAAGTCTTTAACGATATTTATTATAAAAGCAGATTAAATAAATTTGTTTATTTGACTGCATTTATTATGACTTAGAGAGTTTAATTAATTACACAAGTAACAATAATTTAAATTACATTACTCAGCAATCTCTTTGTGTGTTTTGTATATTTTTAACGTTAAAGAAATATAGTAGCAAAATTAATCCCATCAAACTGGAAGATATTCCAATGGTAGCGTCGTTTGATCTAAGCTATCTGCTTTCACAGTGGTCGCCTTAGGCGTGCAATGGCGCTCCGTCTTTGTATTCTCTGTACCCCTCTTTTTCTTCTTCCTCGTCGTCTTTTTCTTGTCATCCTTCGACCGAATCACTCGATTGTGCGGTATGTCGATTTGCGCTGCGGTACGCCGCGGTTGACTGACATCCTCAACTTTGTAAGCGCGCATAAAGAAAGGGGCTTCGCCCGTTTTTTCTTCCGACGACGATTCGCTCATGGAATCTCCGGTTGACCGAATAAAACGATTCTTCGGTTTATTCCTTTCCGCGGAGGACGATTTACTCTCTTTCGAAGTATCAACGAGCGTTCTGACAAATCGGTTCCTCCGTTTGTCCTTCTCTTCGGACGATGATTTACTCTTGTCCAAAGTATCTCCGGCCGTTCTGACAAATCGATTCTTCGGTTTGTTCTTCTCCTTGAACAAGTCGTTTCTGGAAGTATTCTCAACCTTTTGGATAAATCGCAAGTTCTTCGGCTTGTCTTCTTCGGATGACGATCCGCTTTCCGTGTTAACCTTGACCCTTCTGATAAGTCGACTTTTTGAATTGTTCTTGTCTCCCAACAAATTGCTGTCCGATGCATAATCCTGAACCGTTTGGATAACTCGATCTTTTTGTTTATTTTTCTTTTCTTCGGATGATGATGTACTTTGCGAAGTATTTTCTTTAATATGCCTCTTTCCTCGTTTTCTCTCGTTCTCCTCTGAGGATGACGAAAAAGATGAAGATGAATCATCCTCGTTGCCTTCGTTGTTGTCGTCGTTGTCATCACAAATTTCGTCGTCATTGTCGTTATCTTTTTTTGATTGTATGCGTCGTTTCTTACTCTTTTTACGATCGTCATCATCATCGTTGCAATCACACTTTTCGTCGTCGTCGTCATCGTTTTCATCATTGTTCTTCTTCGATTTCACCAATCGTTTCTTACAACCATTATCATCATCGTCACAATTTTCACCTTTCTTTGATTTCACACGTTCCTTACCTTTCTTACAACAATTTTCATTTTCATCATTATTATTATCGTCGTCATCATCAGTATCATCAGAAGAACTACTGTCGTCATTGTCGTTGTCTTTCTTCTTCGTTGCACGTCTCACACGCTCAAATTCCATCTTTTCTTCCGAGTACTCCGATTCCTCCAGAGGCCTCCATCTATTGTTAAGGTACAAGTGTCTCCTTGTACGCTTATCAGCCACCTTCTCCTCGCTAGATGAACTCGAACTGTCGGACTTTTTTTCGTCTACGGTGTCATTGACCGAGATCACTGTCGTCGTCGTCGTCGTCGTTGTTAACACATCATCCTGATTCTGCACATCTGGCACATCTTGCGCATCCTGCGCATTGGGATACGCCCAGACAACGTGCGTAGCTGTAAATCCCACGAGAAAACTCGCGAAAAAAAATAACGCGCTGCGACGCATAATCGATCGTGCGGAAGAGCGATTTCTACTCACGATGGCAGTCAGATGATCGCCTTATATATATACCGTGGTTGCGAAATAAACGCTGATAAAGAAAGGAGTCATCGGGCGATGTATGCTATTGCTGACGTAGACGATGCGATGCGTGCCGAAATCGGTGGAGAAGCAAAGGACGGAAGGCGAAAGATGGGGAAATCCGAGCGAGCGAAGAGAGATTCTCGTCGTTATCGCGGTTACCTCGCGTCGATGGTCCGCTTTGATTTCACTTCGATTCGACTTCGAACTCCGGCAGCTTCGCGCGTGCTTCCGCGAGATCGGCGATTTGCACCCGCTGCAGCCGCGAATCATCGATCGCGCGAACACGAGCGAAGGGTTAACGCCGCCGCCGCCGCCGCCGTGCCCGGCACTCACGCAACGTGGATCAACGGCCGCGATAAGGGGAAGGAGGTGGACGACTTCGCCGGGGGTTCCGCTTATCGAGATTCTACGCGACGCGCGCTAGTAGCGAACGCGACGGCCCTCGCATCGAGATCAGACCCCCGATGCGTGTGATACCGGCTCCTCCTCATAGCAAGGCGAGTGGCTCGAGGCTGCAGAATAATTACTTTGAAATAACGTCGCTGCCTTCATCTCGATAAGATAAGAATCTCGAGAAGACGTAATGAGCGACTGACGCTGCGAACGAGATGCTTACTAAGAGCGTTCGGTAAAAAGAGGAAAAAAACCGTACTGAGAATTATGGATGGCGTCGAGAGAGAAAACTCCAACTCTCGACGGATATTATTAACTCTTTACCGAACTCATCATCATCTTTGATGGCAACTCGATAGCAATTTACACTTTTAAATTTGATGACTATTGTAATTTCATCCTGCTTATCACAGCATCCTTCGATAATGACTCAAAAGAATTATTACTTATCATTATAGACTGTAAATTACATATACTTTATATTTATTGCGTGAACGATATATTATACATTGTACAATAATTTTTTTCGAGTTAATTTAATCGAATTATCGAAGAAACAAAAACTATTTCTCAGCTTGAATGAAAAAATAAATAAATTTTATAAATATTTTTTCAAGAATATTTGATACAAAGAATATTTTTTATTTAATCTTTATATTTTTATTTTCTTGTTATAGTTTATTTTAAAATAAAGGTATAACTTTATATTTTTATTTGTATTAATGTATTGTAGAGTTTGTTATTAAATATACTGCTAGATTTTATGAAATGATGATTTCCATTTCGTATATAAAATTCAGATATTAAAAAAATTGTTAATAACACAGTTTTTTTATTTACTTTGGAAATGCAACCTCAGTTTTTAGCATATTAGCGATCCGTAGTCATCTAATTATGGAATAATTACACTTTTATTTTGAAAGGATATACATTTCTCACATCGTAAAGGATAGTTTGTTGGGTAGAATTTGATAAATTTATATGTCCTGACGAGTCTAGTTACATTTACATGTCTATGCATATTTAATTGTGCTTTAATTCATAATTCTCGTGAAAACTGCTCGTTTTACGGCAACTTTAATCCGACATCGCCCATTTCTCGTCGTAAAATATGAATGAGACAGGGGATCGCGTGTAGCGATGGAAACAGGAACAAGTAAAGACGTTTTGGAGAAACGCTTTTAAAGCGTGTGTTGAGGAAAATACAAGTGTTGAGGAAAAGTCCCTCGCGCGAGAGAAACCGTTAAATTCTTGTAATGACATACAATTTTCTGTTTGCGATGTAACAGCCGTCTAACAGGCGAGTTATCGTTCCTTTTAATTTCTGCTCTTATTCTCGCGAACCCACTTGGAAGAGAATGGCATTAATCGTTGAAGGTGCAGTACTATACTTACACGAGTGAATGAACATTCGTTCAAATCTTCTTTATCAAACGTGATATACAATTCTTACAGAGTATCCTCGACTCTTTCAAAGAATTGTTTTACCATGAATTATTTATAAATTCCTATTGTATTATTATTCCAATATAATTATTGCATTTTTATCAGAAAATTTTATTTAAAAAAACTCGTTTTATTTTTCGAAAAGTAATCTGCGTCCTTTAATTTTTTAACGTGAATGTCGTGCGGATATTTCAAAAAGATCATCGTTTCGTTTTTTTAGGTCCGCAGAAGAAATAATGACGATGCTGTTGGAAGCTAGCGAGGAAGGCATAGGCGGAAGCTGGGACGGCGGTAGAATTGTATGGAGCGTGCGTTATGCGCTCGAGGGCGAGGAGGAGAACGGCTCGCAGTTGACGGGCGTCGATCAGCAGCAACGAATGCAGCAACGCCAGCTGCAGCATCATCATCATCATCACGTCGAGAGACGGAAACTGCAGGCACGGCTAGAGATACAGAAGGATGATATACAGGCGGTGCTTCCGATCTCTAAGGTAACGCGCGATTCTTCGAGCGGTATAAATTAATTAATTCCAAATTTATGCACGTAAACGAAAAAATTACAGTAGAATGCGAAGCGGTGATGCAGATATTTCGTGCTGCTAAGAATTATTTTCGCTGTCCATTTTTATCATTGACATTGGTTAAAAGTTCAGAAGTATAATCACAATCGTATCTGAAATATTATGTAACTTTACTATGGTGGGAGTATATATATACATATGTATATCTACAAGATATTTCACTTTTCACATATTATTTTTAACGGCAGATTCTTTGATCAGTTTTGAGACAGTTTTCTTTAACGAAAATATTGAAACACACCAATAATATTTTTCGAGCGATTGAAAAGAAAGCCTTTTTGCGAATTGAATTTCAGTGGAACGAAATTATATTTTTCTTACATAGATAAGTGGAATACTGATGTGGAGTTTATTTACAAAAGCATGTAATATTATAAATTGCAAAAAAGATTTTACGCTTTTTACGTCATGACCTATGACTATATCCTAGTAAAATCAAGAATTTTGAGGCATCGTAGGGAAAAATATTTGAAGGATTTTTGTGATTTCGGGTTAGAGAGGATTTTGATGCTTTTCTCTCGGTTACGATTATTTTCACCGTGACATTCTTTGTCCTTCGTCTCCTGCACCTCGTGCTTCGCTCTTCGTCGGTGAAAATCCCTTGGAAAAGAGCTAACTCGAACTACGAACACGATCAATACGGTCGCGTATATCGATCACCTCGCCGCGCGAGAATCTGTTTCCACTCGGTCGGCCAATCTACGATCCTCGCGAGTACCGAGACAAGAGAGAAAAAGAAAGGAAAGGCGATGAGAAAAAGGAAAAACTCTGCGAAAAGAGAGAGAGAAAGAGAAGATCGACAAAGGATAATGCTTTTCCCTCTTTGGCTCCCACGGCGAATACTCTGATGCTTTTCTCTTCGGCTTTTCCGCGCCCGCGCCTTCACCATAACGGCGATATTTCTAGTCCGTGGCAAAATTCCATCGATACCGCAGAGCATCTGCTGTAACAACGGATCGTAATGAAATTTTTGATTGCTGTACATTGAGCGGCGTCGACGCATCTCCGCGTTCCTTTACAAAATGAAATGCACGTAGCGAATGTGAAACATTAATTTTTTGTTCGTAAGAAATGTGTAATATGTGTAAAAAGGATAATGCGGCTCTGAATATATTTCAATATAGTGATAATAATACAATTATAAATGATTAAAAACTATTTCGATTATTTTTTTCAATGATCTATAAGTAATAACGAGTATTTTCGTAACGAGACTAATTTGTTTTCCAATAAATTTTATTGAACTTTGTTCTAAAAAGAAATTAAAATCGTTGCTAGATGTGTATACTTATGTATGTTAGTTAAATATAATTTTCGTAATTACTTTTCACCCCGCAACAAGCCTCCGCAATTAGAATACAAGCATCACGGTATGTAAATTAGATCTGACGGTTTCACATTATCTATGACATGCTCACAATTTCCAGTAACACGATACCTGCAAGTGCATAATACATAATTCTATGTATGAAAGTCAACATGAAATCACGTAGATGACATTCACCTAGAATAGAATCTTAGATAATTAACTATTGTAAGAAAGATATTTACGCGATTCAGATTAATAATTGCTGAAGAATTAAAATACCGTGTTAAGTCGATCAACGAAAAATTTGTATATATAATACATTTTTACAATAGCTGTATGTTTTGCAAAATCATACTTTATAGACAACTTTGCAAGTGGATTCTATTTCTGTAAATAAAATTTTAATTTTTAATGAATATGTTATGGAAAATTTACAAGTGTGATTTTTATCAATATTTTTCCTAAAGATTTTTTAATTATCTAAATAAAAGATAAAATATTTGATAATTTTTTGCGACGTTTTGTAGATAATATTATGAGTTACTAATTTCATTTTGCGAATTTGTGATACGCATCTACAAGTTAGATCGAATTTGACAGTGCTTTAATAAGGTAGATCTTAAAATCTGGAATCAGTATTGGCGGATAATGTAGGATAAAGATCGAAGGCATCGAGGAAAGAGGTTGCGCGAGGTCTCTTTTAATTAAAAACTTTACTCACACAGTCTCGCGCGTGGAAGTAGCTGCAATTAGAGTAAGGATAATCAAGAAGCGCAGACGGAGTTTCCGACAACTTTCCGCGAGTGAGCGAGCGAGAGAGCGAGTACGCGGCGCCTTCAAAAGGATATGTAAACGAATTAATTATCTCATTTATCAATTAGCGACCTCTGACACGCGCGCTTGTTTTCTCTGCTGAAATTTATCAAACTAATAGCCCGTGTATTGTACATATTTTACGCACAGCAACGTAAAATCCTTGCGTCTCTCTTATATCCATCAACCTCCTTCCATTCGCCGTCGATGAAACATCATCCACGTTGAAAATGTTTTCCATGTTGTTTTAATAAACTCGCAGAATAATCTCGTTGATCTCGGAAATATCTGGAAAGTAACGGCGTGCTTCATTCAAGTATTAAAGTAGAAATGTATGATTTAAAAAGTTAAACTGCTAGATCCATGCATCAAGCTTTACTCATTATTGCACTCTCTTTAAAAATGCAACGGGTCAATCTTTTGAACTATTAAAAGAAATAAAATATATAACTGAAAATAAAAACGACACGCACATTTTTCCGTAGAGAGTAAATTAATTACACTGAAATGTAGTTATAAATACAAGTCACACAACACACATAAAATCTGCAATATGTATAATAATATATCTTTTTTCAAAATACATACTTTGAGCGCGCGCGATACAAATTTATTATTACATAAAAAAGTATAATCCTAAATTGTCTACATTCGATTTTGATTTGAAAGCTATCAAAAATTGTTTTCTCTCTTATATTAAATCCTTTTCTCATGAGAAATTTGTTTAAAGTTTACTTCAACAATTTTAAATTAAAGAATTTTACAATTTGGAGATTGATATTTCAATTGTGGAGTCAAGAGAGTAAACCAGAAATGTGTACAGTAAATAAAAAAGTTTTAAAGCTAATTTCTAAAACTCTTAATTAATTACACGCCATTAAATCGCGTGTGAGACCATTATTAGCCTGGTATTGTTGCAAATGATTAATATAGAAAGTTAGAGGAAGAAAGCGCTATTCAATTATAAATTTTCACATAAGAGCAAAAACCGACTTTAAAATCCTCTGATGTTTCCAAATAAAAATTTGATAAATTTAAGAGTAATAGAAAAATGATTTTAATAAATTTTGATTAAATATATCCGCGAAGGATTAAAATGTTTCCTTAAATTACATGAAAAAAAAAAAAAAAGAATATTGTCGATATCAGAAATATTAGAAGAAACAATAATACTGCAAACAATTAAAAAAATCTTTTTTATGTATATTTAAAAATTGAAAACTGTCAGTACGATGTTGTACTCTCTATATTTTCTATTAACAATTTGTATACATTATGCTATGCAATAGTAACTGAATCAAAAGGTCGGTAACCAGTGATTCCTCTCAAAGGAATTTCTCGCGTTTCTTTCATGAACAATGCATTTTGCACGGCGAAATACAAAGTACACACGGACGTGTAGTCTAGTCTCGTAAATATTTTCGTGAGTCTTGGTACAGATGAGAAAATATTTGACGAAAGAAAGGGAAGGAGCCGCGGTTCGCGTTCGAATGTAAACTCCACCCGCTGCTTTTATCATTGCAAGAGAGCACGCTCGTCCACGCGAGAGATATATAGTATATAGTTGGCTGGCGGATACACCTCAGCGTGGCGTCAGGGATTTAAATTCCCTCGCTGCAATATCCGAGCCGTTTGATGTTCCTTCCAAAGGCTGCTGCCGGTCTGTATGGACGGAAGCGAACTTGGAAATGGCTTACTAGTCTAGCCGACCGATCCTACCCAACCAACCCCTTTGCGGAGCTCCCCGTTGACGAATTGGTGTAAAATACACGGACGACGCGTACACGTAAACGTGGCAAGTCATCTTCCACGTGTACGAGCAACGTAGCGGCAAACAGCAAGAGCAAGTCTTCAATAGTTGTTAAATAACTGCACGACCTCACGGAAATCCGTTGCTTCTCATTTTCGAACTCGTTTAAACTTTTTATGGTGTTAAATCGTTAGATTGTAAATTGATGGCTTATTTCGGAAATGCGCGGATAAACTTCTTTACGGGAATAACTTGTTTTTTTGTTTGAGAAAAATGTACCATTAGAGAAGATCGATACTTTATTATCGGTTTATATATACATATAAGTGAGAAGATTTTACCTTATAACTGAGACAAGTTTTTCGTATTACTTTGAAGTTTCGCTTTTTGTGAAAGATCAAGAACTCGTGCTTTTCCCGCAAGTGTTCTTTTCAAAAGTGGAATCCAATGAAATCATTAAAACGAGAAATAATATTGTTTTATTTCTTTCTAGTTTTATAGAATAACCGAAAGATTATAATGATCGGTTTTAAATCGTCTAAAATTTATCTTAAAAATTGAGTTCTTTCTTAGAGTTTATATTTTTATAACGCAGTTATTGATTTTATATAAAATATTATGTATATGATATCTCAATATGAATAAATGCATTACAAAAATATGTAATAGTTCATATACATATATTTTGCATATTTTTGTTTAATTTATGTTTTCGGTGGTTCACATACATATTTTTTAATATCGCTTACCGCGCCTTTTGCCTTGTCGCGACGATAACGGAATAAAGTTCGAGGCAAAATAGATAACAGTTATGAATAATGGATAATGGCTCTATCTATGAAGGTTACAGAAATGCATATATTAAAATATATGCATACCTCCATCTCATACTATTAAAAATAGAAGTAGGACTTTAGATGGGAGAAAAATTGGAATAGTGTAGTTTAAGCTACGAGTTTCTCTTCGGTAAGCGAAAGGGAACGTTTTATGTTTTGCTTCAGAATTGGGAGGTGATGAATACAGCGGTGTTGACGGGACGTCAGGTGTCGCAGGGAATGAAGGTTTTCATTGTGAGCCAAGCCGGCACGGTTGCCGATGTTACGCTGCAGTCATCCTGTCATTCCGAGGACGAAAGTGTCCTCAAGGTAATTGCTTTTTAATTTATCTTCAGCACTCACTTAGATTCTTATTACGAATTTAATTGAAAAAACTCTTGGTATTATATATTATACCTTTAGAATTCGCTGCTTTTTTTTATCGTTGTAATCCGTGTCTAACAATTTTAAAAAATTTATATATATTTTATTCCTGCATATATTTACATCTAGAGGAATATGTCATTGCGATTATTTTACATAATGTCCGAATTTGGAAATTGGACATGTACTTAATTGTATGGATTTATTTTTTGAAAATACTAAGTCTATTTTTTAAATAGAAATTAGCTGTATATAATATTTTATTCTGTATAACGGTATCTAACATTTATAATGATATAATTTAAATTCTAAAAGTACAAGAACGATAATGTCCACGAGTTTCAAACTCCTAATACCTCGTATAATCGATAGATTAAGTGACACTTTCGATGCCCTGGTATCGTATACTCAAACCGTGCATTACGAACTATTGTAGTCCAGGATCAAACTGCATACATTTAATACCTGATCGTTGTTACGAATACCTAAACTCGCAGGTATCATCCTCGTGCAGTAGCGTGTATGTGGATGGTTCGGAGATTCGAGGTTCCAGTAACGCATCGGTCCTCGTCAAATACGGCACGTATACTGGTTTAGCAAGATTCACCGTGTGGATGCCTGAATTTCCATTGGAAGTGAGCGTCGCTGACACACGGTTGAATCAAATAAAGGGTTGGAAGGTGCCGGAGGAGCATGTAGCGAGTGCGAAGAGCAAGCGAAGTTTACTGAATGCAACGCGGATCGAAGAGAAGACGGAAGTTGCTTCGACGCCGATAATGCCATTAGAAATACCGCCGGTGACCGCACGAGCGAAGAAGAGAAGCGCCGTTGATCTGGAAGAGTCGATAGAGGACACGTCTATGGACGTGGACGATCCGGACGACCTGCTCGAAGAGGATGAGCACGAGGAACAATTCCGATCTAATGGAAATGATCACGGATGGGATACAATCAACTCTATCGATCGGAATCTATCTCCGGCTAATTGCAGATTACGTTTCCAACAAAGTCCGGTTGAGGTGCACGCTCGATTCTTAGCGACTGATCACGACTCGGGCAGAGTCTCGTATTTTGTCAATCGGCGCACCTGGTTGCGCGTCACTGATCTCGTAGCCGGCATGCTGCGTGTCTCCGATCCTAGAATAGCGACGCTTCTTCAGGGTAGGTTGGTCCAGGGACGCGGAGTAGGTCGCACGGAGGTGCAGGTACTGTCACCGATCACCGGTAGAGTCATCGGCGCGAAGGAAATCAGAGTTGGCAATGATCGCGTGTCTGTGACACATCTGTCTGTCCGGGTGGTATCTGGACTTCAACTCAGTATCAGCCCAGATACTGCGATCGAGAACGGATACGTTGCTGAAACGTCGGTTACGAGAAGACTGACCGCCCAATATCAGGTAAATTGTTAATAGATGTACAATATTTATTATTTGTGCCAATTGTTTCAAATGTATGTTGAGACAGCAATTTTGCAAAATTTGCAATTTAGAAACGTTAGTTAAAAAAAAATTGTCGAGTTTAATAATTTAGTGTTTAAATGTTTTTGAGAGAAATTTAAATTCAGAATTGTGAAGTGAAATAATATATAGATTATAATTACTAAAAAAAGTTACGTTTTATCTCTCTTTTTATTTTATATAATATTAATATTATTTTCTTTTTAAACAAGAACTTGAAAGAGTTAAAAAAGGTTATTAAATCATGTTGATTTATTAAATGTTTACTCTGGGATAAATCAAGTTTTTACATTCACCTCAAGAAGATATCTATTAAGAGTTGAGTTATATATAAATTCCGTTTTAATACATTTTGATTCCTCAATAAAATACAAAAATTCTATCTTAATCAATTATATATCAATTAATTATTTGCAATAATTTTTTGCCATTTCATCAATTGCATTCCATCACCAATGATTTTAAAGCTCCATCATAAAAATTCAATGAGTGTCGGCCGGTCTAGATTTATCTTCCAATGATTTATCTCCAACGAAATTTTGTAAACTAATTTCGTACTTGCCTATAATTTCTTGACCAAACACTGCAAATTTTTGTATTATAACAAACATATTCTGTTCTGTCAAGTATGATGAATTATTAGGATGATAAATGTATACATTACAATTTGTTCCCAGAAACGGAAATTATTTATGACTCAACCTAATATATACATATATATGTGCGCGCACGTGTGTATGTATGTGTGTTTACATAGTATATATATGATCAAAACAAAACTATTGCATGAGTAAGCAAATTTGTTATTGTATACTAACAGGAAGGACTGCTGGACATTGATGTGGAGTTCTCGGACAATACCCGTACACCCCTTAGGGAAATTGCTGTGAGTGATTACCATTTACTGGTGGAGAGTCTGGATCCGGAAGTTGTGGCGTTTGCACCAATGGTCGCTTCTCATCATCCACGAGTAATCGCGGTCGGTGAAGGCCGCGGTGACTTGCTGCGTGTCAGTTTACAGCTAGCCGATTCCTGTCGATTATCCGGCAGACGTTCAAGCAAGGGTTCTCAGAGAACGACGGCCGCTGCATTGGCAAGTGCGTCGGCTAACGTCGAAGTGGATTTCGCTTCGAGCGAGGTACCCAATCGGCCGGAATTCGTGCAAAACGACGGCGGTGGCACTGTTGGCTCTCATCATCATAGAGAACGTAAAACTGGACGTGGCGAAATAGCTTCCGATCTACATGACATCCTCATCGGTAAATAGACCCTGTTCCTTTTTGCTGCTTTCTGTCTCGCTTTTTTGTCATTCTCTTCACTTTTTCTGTTCTTTTCTACGCTTTATAACTGCCACGTATAACGCATGGTATGCACTTTGTTCCGCATTTCTTAGCGGAAACTTTCTTCGCAAGACTATTTGGCTTGTAAAAAGTTCTTTGCCTATTTATGCGTGATCTCTCTTCACGATTTCCGTCCAGTCCTTCATAACCGATAGTCTTCCTCCTTTACGCTGAATGTCAAATGCGTCTAGTTCTTAGAATAAATTGTGAAGTAATACGTTACAGATCGTTGAAGTATAATATCATTGAATCATTCAACATAAAATATCTATTCTCCGAATATTCTTACAATTTAAGAACAATAAAAAATTTAATCGAAGAAAAGTTGGATACAAATCTCTCGATTCTGTCAACATAAAGATAATTCTGAATCCGAGTGAGAATTAGAAAATGAAAACCTTAGGAGACTTTAAATATATGATTCTTCTTCTTCTTCTTCTTCCTATCTACAAGTAATTCAAAAAGTTGAAATTACTTGCACATTGTGCATAGTACAAATGTCAAGTCGCTCCATATATATCAGTAGAGTCTAATTGTGATGCTAAAAGTAGACGCACATTCAGCATCCTCACGAACTTCGCATATCCGACATAGCATGTCTAGCCGCTGTCTAGCTGGAAGCATCAAGGAAGAAAGATTTTCAGCGGCTCTCTAACTCAGCACGAATGTCCCGTCTCACTCTGTCCTCTCTCTCTCTTTCTCTCTCTTTGTTTTTTCTGTGCAAAGGATTACCGCTGAAAGACGAGAAAGACGGGCACGAGCACGAGCCTTTGGTGCAGGCACGACAGCATCGCACGGCTATAGCTAATGGCATGTCTTCAGGAGGTCTGGGCGGCATCGGTGTCGGCGTGCGTCACCACGGCGTCGGAGCACGGATGAGCCCGCTCGAGATCGGGATGTACGTGTTGCTCGCGGCGTTCTGCTTCGCCATCGTTGTCTTTGTCGTCTCCTGCGTGGTGTACGCCAGCAAGTTCAAGCCTCAGCCACCGGACTCCCCGCTGACCGGCGCGGCCGTCCCGGTGCTTTCTGGCGCGGGTGCGAGGGCTCGCGCTGCCGCAAACCAGCTGGCATCTGGCAGACGACCGCCACGCGAATCGACCACCAACGCACACGATTGGGTATGGCTAGGTAGAGCGACTCTCGAACGAGCTGCCTGCGGTCCGCAACAGGTACGCATGTCGGTGTGAATGTAATGATTTGTGAGTGAAACCGTAAATGAAGCCATCGATAATCATTACCTATTAAAACTAATTTTGAAACTCTCAAATACCGGTCTGATAGTTAATTGCACCATTAGATGTAATTATGTTAGTCTATTATTTAAATCAATGGAACCAGAAAGTCGCACTTATCAGGTTTTCGAAGGAAGAAAATGTTTTTTAGACTGTACAGACGATTTTAGTAAGACATACATTATTTTGTAATTAAATATATATTGTAAATAAATACATAGAATGACATTTCTTCTATTAATAGTTACGTTTTGAAAAAAATTAATTTATATTTAAATTCACACGAAATTATATATAAGCAACTAAGATCCTTGCTAGACTGTTACAGGCTTCGTATTCGTAATTATAGTTTTGTTGTTACATTGATAATCTTTTAAAAATTTAATATTGTTAATTTATATTTGTTGATCTTATTTTATTTATGTCATGCTTCTATTTACTGTCTACTTCTCGACAAATAACAATAATGACATTATTCGCACTAATTTCTTGACTTATTTCTATTTATTCCTTTCAAGAGTATTTAATATTTAGTGTCATAAAATTACTGAAGATTGCTAACGAATTAAAGCTCGAATAACAATTCAAATTTCATAACATCGATAGCGATAACGGTCCAACGCGAGTATATCTAGGATTTATCCAGTAATTGAAATCAATTCGAATTTTCGACGAGATTTGGTGCTGTAAATATCTTTGCGCATTTCGATAACCTAGTGGCAAATTGTTTTAAAAACAGCAGGATTTTGTTGGAACAATTTGATTGAAAAAACTCGGTCTATGTTGCAGGTACGCGTAACGAGTAATCCGCTGGCCGGCGAAGGGGAACCTGAAGCTGAATTGGGTACATGCTTCGACAATCCGAACCACATCGAGCTACCGTCTGCCAATCAGCGGCCTAGCGGCGGTACCAGTGCTATCGACACCACCACTTATTCCAAACGGGACAGAGTAGCGCGAAACAGTTTCGCAGCAAAATCCGCGATCAAACCATCCGCGGTGATACCGCCTACAACGGCTACAACAGCGACGACAGCGGTGTCGATTGTGGTTCCGACTACCGCGCGAAACGAGTAATTATAATTGAACGTTCTTGTTCTTCTTTGTGCAGAAGATTTATTTCTCAAAAACGAGTTAAATACATATATCTTCTAGCAGAGAGAAGAAAGTGATATTCAAAAAGAAATTCTTTACACAACAAATTATATGACATTTACAAATACTGTATCACAAGAAATTTTAAACCGAATATCATACAACTTGTTATACCTAAAAAATTTTTTTGGGATCTCACTCTTTTAACTTCTAATAATTCTAACGAATTGATATTACTTATAGCTTCGCGAATACGTAAACTTTATCACGAATTATTTTACAGTAACGACGATATTCCTCCGCCCTTGCCACCACACGGAGTGCCAATCACAAACTCGACATCAACAACGACAACTACGGCGACTACGACGGTTGGTACAAACAACGCAAGCAATGGCAATAACGAAGACTACAAGCCACCGGTACCGCCGCACAGGAACACAGGGGTGGGCGTACGATTACCGGAGCCGCCTGCGCCACGGAAGCATCGCCATAGGGCGTCTAGCGGTGGCAGCAGCGGCCATCACGGAAATAATCATCGGCACAATAGTAAAGCACTGCAGCATCAGTCAAATCATATAGTCAAGTCGCATGGGAAAACTAAAGTAGACAACGCAAATAAGAAAAACGGTGAGGACGAGGAATTCGTGGAGTTGGTGAATCACGACGATAACAATAGACACCTCACAAAGGATGCTGGGAGATCACGGGAAATTAAGAGGGCGACCATAGTTGGTAATCCGATGTACTCGTCATTTTCCACTTCCGCCGTGGTATCATCCACCGTTGTCTCTACCGTAAACTCATCTACCCCTACTGGCGGTGCGTCTTCGTCTACCACAACATCTCCGCCATCTTCGTCACCGTCCGCATCTTCCTCCTCATCCTCTTCTAGCTCCTCTTGCGCCTCATCCTCCTCCCAGGAGCAAGAAGAATCGGTAGCTCTCGATGACCTCAATCTGGGTATGGACTACAATCAGATCATGCAGTACTTCGACAATCTAAAAGAGTCGAATGCCTAGGTGAGGCCGTTCGACCTTTCTAAAGGTCGAGTAGTAGTCAACGTCGATACGGAACACCGGGATCCTCGTTAGTAGATACAGCGAACGCGTTGAGTTGTTTCCATTTCCTCTTGAGAATTCTATTGAGAATTCGTAACAACTCATTCTCGCGGGAACGAGATTCCGCTATCATCGAAAACGATAATTTCCTGGATATTTCGTATTTTAGACTTAATCTAGTCAGCTTCCTAGCAGCACATCAAGAGTAACGTGCAAACGCATACGCATACACACATACACATACGTTCATATTAACAAAACTTAAGAAAGGGATAATTCCTTTGCACACGATTCACACAGTCTCTCGACAATTTGTTACGACCGCTAGCAATTTTTGGGCGCAACGGGTGAAAGTTCCTCAAGTATGATATAATTTCCCGATATATACATATACGTATTTTATCACATCGATACGTAAATAATGATACGTAAAATGTAATACGCGATAATAAAATGAAGAGATTGTATGTGTATTGCATTAATATTTTATATTTATAGACACAAAGATGCATATTTTTTACTATATTTTTTTACTATTTTTACAAATTATCGTTATCAAAACGATTCAATTTTGAGTATCTGTTTTCTTTTTGCTTTTGTTATACTTTTTGGAATACTTTTGCTGTTATTTATTTACGAAGTGTATTTTCTTTAACGATTTAAATCTCTTGGACTAATAATAAGTTTAATAGATTTAATCTTTATCATGACTCATGTTTTAGTATATATGTGAAGTGTAGTATTCGAGTGTCGCAATTGCGAAAATTTGCTGGCGTAATGAATAGTCGGAGTACTGTTTATACACACGTAAGAGGCTTTAAAAAAACTGACTGTCGGTGGCTAGTGGGGTAGATAGATTGCTCGCTCGATGACGAAAGCGTCACGCGGCATTACGACGTTTCTCGCTGCGAGCTTCGGTTCATGCAGGATCATCGTGGATCCTCGCTCTTGCCCCTATGCCATCTTGATCTCTCGCTCGATCCCTTCTCCGCTACCACGGTTCCTCCCTTCGTCTGGCCGCAAGTTAACGAACGTCAGACAATTTGAGATGCTTTGTATTTTGATCGTACATGCATTCGATAATACGCACATTGATTCGCAAAGAGTCTTTAATATTTTTTATTTTCGTATAACTTTCAAATATTTTTGTGTCCCTTGTGTCGAGTTTTGTGCCATAAACTATAGCCATAAACTTACATTAAATCAAACAATTTTAAATTTCCCGAATTTTTTTATGCCAAATTTGCGAATAATAATTCATAGGATCCTCGCGAAGATCTTACGCGTGTTAGCATACAATTTCTGCATTAGACAGAAGAAGCGTATTTTTGAATTTATTATATAAAAAAAAACAATATGTTTTTCATACATGGAGAAACAAAGAAAGGAAAATTTTATACCAGTGCGTGTCTCTTCTTCGTTGTTTCTGCCAATGTTTAATCTTTGTTCAATATACGCTTCAATATTTGACATGCGATGTCATCGACAGTAAGCTTTCAATTCACTGAATGACGGACTGTCTATCAGTTAGCCGAGATCGGTATGCAAGGCGCAATTGAAATACGATGAAACGTTCACTTGCGACCTGACCCAGTCGCATCGGAGGACATATTTATTCGATCGACCGTACGTCGTAATGTTTGTAAATTTTGCTTTGTAAGACTGTGTACATATATATATTATATATATAGATACGATAGAGCGCATGTTAATTATATATTATATGAACTTGCAGGTTTAAAGTTACATTTGTATGGTTAATAGAGATTCGCGAATCGTTCCATATGTCGTTCGATGAGAAATACAACTAGTTCGGTTGTACCAAAAGAGAAGAAACGTCGATGACAAAAAACACGTATACGTTATACATCCAACAATGCTCGAACGCTGCTCTCTGATATCGCTTTTGAATTATCTTTTATTCTTCTCCATGATCTTTTTAAGTACGTTGCGCTCGGCACTTTTTATCCTGCCGAAAATATTTTCATCATGTGTGCATCCACATGCGTGTATGGTACCGTCGAAGTGAGACGGTAACTGGGTATATGAAGCACCTTGACATTAGTACCTAATATATCGATATACTTATTTAGGTACAGCCTCGAGATACAGTATCTTAATTAAATGCGCTCTTGCTTTAAACGTTTGTATCTAGGTATTGTATCTGTTACGGGATACTGTAACGTGTGTATATATACATATTTGCCATATCAAGTGTATAATTGTATATTTATCATACAAATATTATCCGGAATGTTGAAGTCGGCCGTATAATATGAAAAAGAAATTTTTTTATTTTGTAACATAACTGTTTAGTTTAAATTTTATTTATAATCATTAATTTATCGCAATATCTTAGCATTCATAATGTCAGGAATATGTTTCAACATTTTTATGGCTGTTTCATACATATATACATATACTTAGGTGCTATTTCGAAAAATATATACGCACATACCCAAACACATCTTTATAGTATATCCGCATTTATACCTAGATACAAAAAGAAAACATAATTAATATGTTTGTTGAAAGTGTATATAAACTAAGTGAACCTTGTCTACAATTGGATTATTATAAAACAAATATAAATTTATTATTTATTTACGCTAAATAAGTGAAAAATAATGGAAAAACTATTTTTGAGATAACAATTTTTCGAAATATGATCAAAAATTGATTGATCATTTATTGCATAATCAATAATCAACCACATGTATGAATCAAAGTAGAGCGAGTTTTTGGCGAAAACTATGAACATTTAAAAGTATGAAACAAAAGCATGTTTTATAATTCATGTAAATTTTATTTTTTGTGGTATGATTTATTTTGTTTATATTTATTCTATTGATACGAATTCTTTACCTTAATATAAAATATATAATTATTGAATGTTACTATAAAATCTGAAAATACTTTTATATTTAAAAATAAAGAGATCAATTGATAGATAGTTCGGCAGAGTTCACTTAGTCTATATGTACTTTTTCTCATAACATGCGAAGAGAAAGAAAAAAAAAAGTTTGTTCTTCCTGATCGATTAGAATAGTTACAAACTCATCCATAGTTCTGTTGTTTTCCATAATAAAACTGATCATTGCGAAGCGATCGAATGAAATGAACCAGAGACAATTTTAAGTGTGAACGACCTACTCCAAGGATCAGCCAGGAAATCTATAGCTATGTACGTATCTAAGGACTACGGTGTCTAAGTATGTATGTAACTCTCTATAAGTTGTGTGTCAGCACATCTCACGTGGGACAATAGTGATCTAAAATCTAATCCATCGGCGGCGAACGGCGTTCGGCGAACAAACAATTGACGGCGCCTCGTTGTCGTAAAACACGGCGAAATGAATATGATCACATGATTAAATTGGCAAACATTGAGGAAGAGTCGAAACAATGTGAGAGTATTCCGCCAAGAATCTAGTCTTACAGCGTAATTATTATAATACGTATATATATATAAATATATAAAATATTAATCAATGCGATGTACGTTGCCTTTCGCCCGATGATAACACGTATCTTACGAATGCCCCGCGGTCACCGTCGATGCGTCAAGCTTAATGTACATACATATAATCGATCCTCCAATAGATATGGCAAAAATAAATCACCTATTCGGATATTCCTAGAACCGGGCAAAAAAAAAAGATATATTAAGCTATATTCGAAAAAATTAGATTTATCTTACATGAAAAAAAAGAACAAGTGAACAGTTTTTTTTTGTTAATAACAACATGGTAAAATTTGTGCTGACTGATACAATGTGGGCACTCGGTACAGTGGCTTAAACTTGCGTAAAACAAAGAGATAAATATATATAGTCTCATATCACATTATACAGAATTCTACCATATCAGTTAAAGTTGAATAGTTTTTGAACCGATTGCAAAGAATATTCTTCTAGATATTGATTTTTTATGAATTTTTTGTACAATTTAATCTATATGTATCAGCTTAAAAAAAACAACCAGAGCTTACAAAATTGTGAATATCTTATTTATCTATTTTATAATATGAAATTTATAGACACACACCCATTGTCATCTGCAATCGGTTCTCATGCCTTAAGAGCGGCTGTTGTCAGTAACTTTTCTATAAGCGAAAAATTGGAAGTAACTTTTAATAATGATTCACTTAACATTAAAAAAAAATATCCCTAAATAGCTCAAGCTGAAGTTCGTATTTGTATCTCACATTTAATATTTTCTTCGAGAATAATATAATGGATGTGCGGTATTAAATCTGATACTATAACATTTTCCAACGATAACATTAATAATTAATTTCTCAATTAACAGTTGTTCGGATTAACTTTATGCGACTGCATGATCTTCACATATAGGTATGGGACAAATAAATTGGATTTAGCTGAATGTGGGATATGAGTATCCTAGCTTCGTTCGAGTTAATTGCTTTGTCGTCTTTGTATTTTCTTTTCTCATTTCAAATAGATGGAGATTCAACGGTGAACACGGTGAAAACATGTACGAATTGATCATATCCGAGTATCAAGCGAAACAGGCGCACGCGCTAATCGTTCGTATATACATATATGACTATTATCTAACGATTTTGATATAAGGACACCTTCGGTGATTATCATGATGCCATAGCGTTTACTTAGTGTTACTAAGAGTGATCGGAGTCAGTGGCTTGTATGTTAGTATATATTTGCGAGGCGCGCATACACATACACACGTCTTAGACAAAAGTACACATTTCCGATTCTACACCATTTCAATGAAAAACTTGCGCTTTATACTATCCTTGTAATCATTGGAATATATCTTTAATGTAATCCAGTGATTTCCGATAAGATTTTTATTATTCTATCGTAGAAAAAAGATTTTATAGATATTTTTCTCATTTATTCCTTCAAATGTTTTTTCACTCTTTTCTTCATTTTCTCCTGTCTTCTTTTTTATGTTTTTTATTTTTTTGACAAAGAAAATTAATATATTAATTAATACATCTATAGTGCATTTCTTAACATTTTTTAAAAGTAAACGTTTTATGTAAAATGTTTAAGCAACCATATTTTTGCAGATAAGAACACAAAAAATTGTAATAACGGCTAATATTCGATTGCTTGGAAATCACTGGTAATTCCTTCACAAAGATTTTTTTCTGTCCGTATTTATTTCACAATTTATTTAATTCTACGAAAATTTTCTATCTATGACCAATGTAATAAGCGACAGTGAACGTGCGCATCGCATATTATAAATCCTTCCAATCTTCCCTCTTTCCTGAGCTTTTGCTGATTCGAAAAGGATACGATAGATTCATCGCAATGCATCGCTGACTCTGCATCCGCGCACATTCCTCAAACACTGTTTATTTTAAGTGTGATAAATGCGAGATTGAAGAAAGAAGAAAAGCGAAGAAAGCGATAATTAGTAATTACTAACTGCGCTCGCGACGACGACGCTTGAAGACGTTGACGATGGCGGTGGTGACCGCATCTACGATGACGACAATATCCAACGATGCAAATGTCCTCTAAATTCTTCGAACGATTTTGGAAAAAGAAAACGATATTTGTAAGCTCTAAAGATTTTGTTTATGTGCGCGAGAAATTTTTAATGGAAAGCTTGTTCTTTCTAATTCACCGTAAATCTAAAAAATCTTCACTACTTAAAAAATATTGTACTCTTCATAATGCTTAATCCTTATTTTACAAAAGTGAAGACTTGAAGAAAATTAAAGAAAGCAATTTTTAATTAAACGGACTGCATTGGATAATTTTGAAATGTATTCAATACTCAACTTTTCTACTCGTAAATTTCATAAATTTCTTGATAATAATCGAGACGAATTTTGTTCCAATTTTCTGTCAATATTTCTTACAAAAACATTGCCATTTTTCCAAAAGTTCGAGGACACCTCCTGCTCGTTCGTACTGTCGCAAGCATAGTATCAGCACAAAATATCGGAGACATTCCATGATGCCGGATAACACATTTTGATGCTTTACTAGAATTAATCTGTAAGATACATACATAATAATTTTTTCTATTTTTTTTGTTAAATATTCTGATGGTTTCGAGCGATTATTACCCTTAAGTTAGATAAAATACATTGATCAGTAAAAGACTCGAAGAAAGGAAGCATTCGTATTAATAACTGAAAATAATGCTTCCCATTTTCTTTTAAGAAATATAAATAAATGAGATATTAAAATTGATTTATCCTTTTTTTCTTATACACGCGGAATTTTATAATATTATAATTTTTTAAAAATAAGATCTATTTTTTTGAGGTCGCCGTTCATCGCAAATTTTTTTCAAATAAAAGAGATGAAAAAAATTAATATCTCTAAAGCATTGCGTCCGGAACTCTGGAATGACCCTTTACTCTCATTAGTGAAAATATTATCATCGTGTCTATTACTATATATATACTGCTATTGTTACTTGTACTACTATCATTAATTATATTTATTGTCATCGTTGCTGTTGCTGTTATTGTTATTAAGATTGTTGCTGCTGCTGTTGCCATCGCCGCGTCGATCGCGCGAATTCCGAAAGCATAAGGCGTCATTGACGTTGTCGTTGCCGTTATCGTCATCGTGGCCGTCGTCACTATCGACATCAATGTCGGCGCCGCCGATATGCTATAATTAATAACAATAAGATACGACTATCGCCTACTCAATGTACAATATGTAGTATTTACCTGTTGTTACCATCAAACCGTCATCAAAGATATATAAAAATATTGTAATTGTAACGTATTGAGTTTCTCGTATCCCTTTCTTACTTCCTCTCTTTTTTAAATTGGACAAATATTATACTTTATTTATTCACTATAGTTAATTATAACATAATTGATTCTATGATAAAAAGAAAAGAAAAATCGCCGCGGAAATCAAAATTTATTAAACAAAATCAGAAAAACAATTATTTAAAAAAACGCATATGCTGTATTATACAATATTTAAAACTTTGCATTTATGTTTGTTATTAATTTTTATATATTTTTGTATTTTTTCAAATTCTGTTTTTGACACATTCAGCTATTTTGGAAACTATTATTAAGCATATTTTATTTCTCTGTTTCACGTGTATTTAACAGCAAGAGATATTTTATTATTCTCTAAGGGAAAAATTCTTAAATCTAGAATAAAATGATCAAACATGTCGGTTTTGCCAAATATACATATATTATACTATGGTGCGCCAGCAGGAGCAATGATGCTCATTATAATAAACAAATAATAGTAATCATATACGGCTCTAAAAATAATATAAAGAAAATTCTTCTCTCTAGATTCGTCTTGTGTTGCGTGCGTATCGTAGGTATGTCGGAGATCTGATTTTTCGTCGATCGCTATCATATACAATTAATAATATTCTAAATTTTTTATTGTTCACTTCTTTTTGAAAAAGCATGACTCGCATTGATAAATGCATGGAATTAATTGATAGCATAAATTTTATATTTTTTAAGGTTCATGTATCGCTATATGGAGTTCCGCTTATGTTCTATGTGGCACACAGAGGCGCCAGTAGCAAGTTTCCATTTAAAAACAGCACGTCACATTCATCTCTTTTGATAGTAGCGCGTAACGACGGGCTGTTACATTTACCGGTTCAGCATGAAGATAGCTATTCATCCATTGACAGCTGATCCTACGGCAGCCTGGCATGAGTTATCTCAGCATCAGAAAGTTGTAAAAATAACTGCTAAATTGCCGACGACCGAAGCACCAATCGACAAAGTATGTCCAACGACTTTTAACAGTTTCAATCTCTGTACGAAGTAATATGTTTGTGTTAACCTTAAAAAGTCACCTTCACTCGTTCTATACGTTTAAAGTCGTTAATTATACATCCGAGAGGAGAAGGCAGAATTCAAATTTTTGATTTCTTATTCGATTGTCAATGTGAACTCATATTAATTACAGGCTTAATAGTGATTTTCCATTTTTAGTTGCGTGTGGTATGTATGAGCGATACACACTCGCTCACGCCGTTCATAAAGTTCGATGTGCCCGAGGGAGACGTCTTCATTCACGCCGGGGATTTTACGAAATGTGGTAGCCTGCAAGAGGTCATAGAATTCAATAATTGGATAGGTAAACGATAAGTTATCGTGTGTATTGTATACACTATAATATTATATGTGGACAAGAAATACAAGTGTTAAAAAAATGTATCTCAATTCTAGGTAATTTACCACACAAACACAAAATAGTCATAGCTGGGAACCATGAACTTAGTTTTGATCCTACATTCACGCATCCCTTTTCCGTGCACACCAGTGGAGATCATCAGAAACATACAGGAACTAGCATACTCGATGATATACCTACCTTGGGTATGTCCAAGGATACTCTCGCAGAAGCTATTAAAACTACTAATGTTAAAGATTATTTGACAAATTGTACATATCTTGAAGATTCTGCGATTATAGTGAACGGCATTAAGATATATGGTACTCCATGGTAAGCATTATCAGTTGTATTAAATAACTTGGTGAACAAAAAAGTAAACATACAATGCATATTTAATTAAAGATTTGTAGAAATCTAAATTGAAAAAGAGAATGCTAAGCTTATAGTTTTATAAGAGCATTTTTGTATTTTATTTTGTTTGAATACTCTAAAATTAAATACTGCGTAAAATTTATTTGATGTGTTCCTTAAGATTAATTTGACCATCACGATTGTAAAAAATAAATGCATGTCTTTTTTGAACACACTATGCGCAATATTTGTAGAAAATAATTTCAGGTATAAGAGATTCTTATTTCTGAGGGACATTTCGTTGAAACTTTAGGCAACCAGAATTTTGTAAGTGGGCATTTAACGTGCCACGTGGAGAAGCGTGCCTCTCAAAATGGGAAATGATTCCATCTGACACAGATATCCTTGTAACGCATACTCCTCCTGTAGGTCACGGAGACCTGTGCTGTACTGGAGTACGGGCTGGATGCGTTGAATTATTGTCGACAGTGCAAAATCGCGTAAAGCCCAAATACCATGTATTTGGTCATATACATGAAGGTATAATGAATATATAATTGTATCTATTACAATATTTGCATTAAAATTGGAAATATTGTCTTATTCATTTTATGTATAATTTTACAGGATATGGCATATCTTCAGATGGCAAGATAATATATATTAATGCATCAACATGTGATATAAATTATTTACCAAGTAATCCACCGATAGTATTTGATATAACACTACCTCCTGGTATAAAAAAATTATAAATCCTTAAACGAATAACATAAATGAATTTTTCATGCTACTTCAGAAAGATCTTTCTCACGAGCTTAAGAAAAACTATTACGTGATAGATAGATGTATAAAATTAGATAGTAATCTCTTGCCTTAATTTTTAAATCAGGTATGTTGTGTAAGCATTTTATATAGTATAGTATTAACTAACCTTTCTTTTTCACACGCGATTTATAATGTTTCAATAATAATGAATAAAGTATAATCCAATTTGTAATCTCTTTTCTAAATAAAAATAAATTATATTGCCTACATATCTTTTAATAAATATAGTTTTCATTTCCTATTTTCAATAAGGGATACTTAACATTCCATTAATGTTGTTAAATTGGAATTGATGAAAAAAACGTGTTACTAAAGATATGGAATTTTTGGGGATACTTATATGCTTCATGCAGTTATTATCAGTAAAAAAAATTACTTATACTTTTTATACATATTTTTATTGTAATATTCACTTGAGTAACAAATGGCACTTTCTTATTAAGCAAAAAAAATTTACAATTGTTTTGCAATCGTCAACATGGTCGTATTAAGCTAAATGCGCATATTAATCGAAGGCTATTTTAGAGAATAAAAGAGTTCGCATCTTTATCGAATGTTACGAATTATCTCGATTTTAATAAATTATTATCCTAAATTGTTATGCTTGCATTAAAAACGCGATCTGTGCCATTTTCCCATCATGTACATCATGAACGCGTTGGACACGTTTTAACTAAACTACTAAAATTTAAGCTATTTCTTAAATTGATGTATGAAAAATTTATATATATGTATATATATATCTATATATAGATATTGCAGATCTATTAAGTTGGTTCACTTGATATTTTCCCTAGCAAATTATTACATGATCATTATGTGCTTTGAAAACATATTTGAATCATAGTTTATAAATGTTTTAATTCATTAAAAATTACGGTAATTGTTCACTTTAGGGGACCCAGCTCCGATGACCTTGACCTTGACATATGTTGATAATATCAAGGTCATGATTCTGAGCAACTTTACCGTAACAATTAGGTAGCGGTCTGTTATAGTTTTTCAGATATTAAGGGTCGACAGGAGTGACCCAGAGACCTCTAGTCGAAGATGAATTTTTTATTCCCAAATTACTGCTAAAATACTGAATGGATTGCGTTTTAATTGTGATATTCGTAATTAGGAAAGGCTCCTGAAGGCTCGTACAGAGCTATTTTTTTGTAAAAAAGGCATAATAAAAATTTGTTCTGTTATCTCACTCGATGTGTACAATGGTGCAGTTGAGAGGTGTATACATGATCTTATTTTCATAAAAATTTTCAAGAATTAATTTGCAAATCTGACTCTGTACGAGCCTTCCCAGCAATATAACAATGAAATCCCAACAGGTTTCATAAGGAAATATTATTTCTTTGAGAAGAAAAATGAGCATAACTGATCTAGATCTGCACTGATCTGCACTCATAAATGTTACCTTTATTCCCAAATTATGGCTAAAATATAACATAAATCGTGTTTTGATTGTGATATTCGTAATCAGAAAAGGCTCCTGAAGGCTCGTACAGAGCTATTTTTTTTGTAAAAAGGCATAACAAAAATATTTCTGTCACTCCTGCCGACCCTTAAGCGTTGAAGTTATTTTTAATAGCAGTGAAACCTACTGTATTCACGCTTACACTTTACAGAGTATTAACTATTGATAGTATACAATAGTCCAGACTATTGAGTCTGAATATCTCAAAAATTATAAGAGTCCGCTATCTAGTTGTTAAAGCAAAGTTGCAAAGTTGCTCAGAATCATGACCTTGACAACATATGTCAAGGTCAAGGTCATCGGAGCTGGGTCCCCTAAAGTGAACAATTACCAAAATTACTAGTAGTCATTATAACAGATTGATCCATATATCATTTTGTGTTCAATTGAGACCAATAAAAAGAATATTACGTCGTAAGTTATATGAACTTAAATTGCAACTCTCTTTAATTGCAATAAAATTCTCAAATATTATACATCTCTTTTACTGTTTGGAAAAATTCGAAGAACTATTAAGTTAAAAAAAACATCTTACACATCTAAATCTCTAATCTTCTACTAAAGATTCGTAATTTTCGTGTCGATTAATTGTGTATTTACTAGAAATTCATGAAAAAATAGTATCGTTTTAATTTAGAATTAGAGGACACACAGAATATAAACCTAACTAGCAGGTAAACGAAGTAGTTTTTAACTAACAATAACAATAAACAAATGTAAAAAGAATGTTCTTCTTACATAGTTCAAAGTAGATTACGGAAGATTTTCATCTAATACGGTACGTTTGAAAACAGGTACGATACAGATTCACCGTTATGTGTCCGCCTTACTGCTTCGGCAAACATCATCGAGACATCAATACACTAAAAGATAAAAGATATAATCAGTCCTCTGTGTCACGATTAAATCTATATAACACAATTGTTACCATTATCGCGATAAGCATTTCACGTCAGTTACTCTAATAGAAGAAATATTTACCTGAATCTTTGGGCAATCTTTCATGTGACCATCTTGAGGAATAGTGTTGGTCACTACCACAGCCTCGAAGCAAGCATTGTTAATTCTACTAATTGCTGGCCCACTGAAGATACCATGTGTAAGTATCGCATAAACTTTCGTGGCACCAGCTTCCAACAGCTTTTCTGCTGCGTGACAGATGGTACCGCAAGTGTCAGCCATATCGTCTACAAGGATAGCAACTCTGTCTTTAACATCACCAACCAATACCATACTAGCGACTTCATTCGCTTTTTTTCTTTCTTTATGTATGAGTGCAAATTCGACATTTAATCGGTCTGCGATAGATGTGACTCTGTAAAGAAAATAAAAGACGATCAACGTATTTCTTCGATTAAAATATAATTTTCTTTTCTTTTTATTAAATATTTACCTTTTAGCACCACCAGCGTCAGGAGAGACAATAATACTATTTCGCCATTCAACGATATTCTCTTTAATCCATTTGAGGACAGCAGGTTCAGCGAATAAGTTGTCTACTGGGATGTCGAAAAATCCTTGTATTTGACTAGCATGTAAGTCCATTGTGATAATGTGATCAGCACCCGCCACAGAGAGCATATTTGCTACTAGCTTTGCAGAGATTGGCGCACGGCTCTGTAAAATACATTTCGACAGATCAGTTTTGAGAATTTGTATGAGTCCTTCAAGTCCATTTGCAACTGGAAATATCCTGTAATTTAAAGAAATTGCTATTAAAAAGTCCCTTAAAAACATGAAAACATCTAAGAAATAGGAAAAAATCATTTATTTTGTTACCTTTTAAACTAAATAAAAATTAAAAAAATATATGTTAATTTATATCGCGACTGCCCGTACTTTTGGAAGAGATACGGTATAGTTTATCAAACATCGGAGATGATTGCCAAAAAAGACTTCAGAGGGGACAAAATATGAATATAACGACTATGTACTAAAATATTACTCTTTTCAGTAGGTATAAATATATTTTTAAAATACAGGGAAACAACGTTGCAAATGCACCCCAGTTAGACTCTCAACAATTATCATAAGTAAAGCAAAATATCTAAAATTATGAACGCAAAACAGAACACAATGCATCTCGGTCCTTTGCCCTTATATAGCAAAGGATAATTTGAGATGAACAAGAGGGCAAACATTGGTAACAAATATGTAATATCTACACAGATAAGTTCACAAATGGTAAAGATATATACTCTAAAAGAACAAATACGTCAATATCGCGATTCTGCATTTTTAATATTGTATCTGCAAAATTACACATAAGAAAGAATTTATATAGTTTGCAAATTAAAATATGTCTGTATATATTGTATTAGTACCTTGACCTTGATATGGAGAGATGCATTGTGCAAAAATGGATGGCATATTTTTAGTAGAACGTAATATTTATGTAATGAGTATAAGATTTACAAAAGCTATTAATAATAGTTTTAAAGTATGTACTATCAACAATTTTATTGTATGGACAAGACAAGTTATCACCAAGATAACACATTGACATTCCTATGCTATTCAAGCATTAATAGGATAGGCAATATTTGATTAGTACATTTGGACAATAACACTGATTTAAGCTTCAATTAGTACCCAATAAAACATACATGTGCGTACCCCACTATACTAATTGCCAACAACGTACTGCTATTATATTAATATTTTGCCCTCTCATTCGGATATCAATATGCTTTGACCAAATGGCTCATTCATTCATTCATTCATGGGGATACCACTTGTGTTTGTATAGCAACGATATTATAAGTTTGGTTAGTCCTACAAAGAAAATTCTTGTCTGAATTCAAAAATAATATTACAAATCTCTCGAATGGTTCATCGAGTTATCATTACAAACGCTGCACTCGACAATCTCGTTGCTATTATACTCACTGTAGACAGGTCGGGCGGAATATCCTGAAAATACCCAACTAGTCAGAAACTTAAAAAATACATTAACTTTTTCCTAGTAAATATTATAGTCAGTAATAATTTCTCTGTCTTTTCGTTTTTTCATAATCTAAAGATATAAAAAACGTTATGACTAATGACTATTTAAGAAGGTGATACAGAATTTTTCCTATGTTTCGTTTTCATGCAGTCCCCAATTAATATTAAAAGGCACTTATTCTTGTTGTACATGAACATATAAAAATGTAATTAGTAATATTAGTATCCATAAACTTTGAAAATAAATATAAATTAATAAAAAATATAAGAAATATTATTCAGAATATATAGTAAGTATTTAATATATATGAAAAATTTAATAAAGTTAAGCGGATCAAAAATTGGTTAATGTAATTATTATTGTCGTGATAACAAAAATGTACAGAAGACCTCCCTTGGAGAAATCTAGCACGAGTTTTGCAACAACCATTTAGGTTATCCAACTTCTGATAACCCTATGTTATTAAAAATAACATGCTTGAAATGCATTTACAGTGCTTAAAGTTCTAAATTATTTACTATTTGTCTCATTACAAAACATCCCAATTACGTCAAGTGATAAAATGTAATATGAAAATCATCATTCTATGCATATAATGTGATATTATAATTATCTTATCAGTATTTCAAGATGATACGCATGTATTGACTAAAAGCAACGAGTGTTCAAAATGAAGCTTCAATATGACTAGTGAATAAATCTGATTGAATAACGAAACTTGTAGAGCTTAACTCATGCTCGATTTTTTACCAGATTTAAATGGAATAATTCACTTATAATATAAATGATATAATTTAGTTATGATAGTTATGATATAAATTTTACAAGTAAATAATTACAAGTTTTATTTATAATTCATGCGTTGTTACATATTTTAATTGTATTATCCCTATATAATTAATAATATATTTCCCTTGTATACATACTTCAACTATATGCTAGTTTCACCATTTGCGTCACACAATGTATTTAAAAAAGGCTTTTTTATACTATACGTTTTGTATATTTACTATTAAATTTTAGTCATATATCATTTATATAAAAGTATTTATTCCTATTTCATGTATATACACACATATATGTATATGCACACATTTAATAAATTGTCATTAATTTTGATTTTGCCTAACACAGTAAGAGATATAGATATCTTCTAAAGAACGTAAAAAAGAAGTTGCAGTAATCAGCGAATGGTGAAGATCCTGTAATCTAAATGTATTATTTGGTGCAGCCCAATAACATAAAGCCGACAGAATATACAAGCGTATTTCGTATGACGATGAGATCAAAGTTTTGCGTTCCAGAAATGATATTACTCCATTGGTCTGTTGCAAAGCTATGAAAGAATTAACAGAACAAATAAAAGGACCGCTGCAAGTTACCCTGAATTTCCACTCGTTCGACTTCATGACAATCTGATTTTTAGAGTCTCCACCATCACCGCCCTGTGAAGATATAGCACATTAAAGAAATATAATGTCTTCGAGAGATAATGTTTCCTTCGTTATCATTCTTGTTGATGTTTTAACTATCAAAACTTCAAGATAATATTAGAAATACATACTACAAATTTATTTGCATAATATTATAATATAAATAAAGTAGTTGTGTCTGTATCGTATCTTATGATAAAATGATAAAATGATCGAATATTTTTGAGCAAAAAATACTCAATTCGTAATTTAACAAAAATTTGTTACTGATGTAAAACAAAAGTGCTTTTAAATACTCTAAGATTTTTAAAAACGCGCTTCTCAATCGGATTAGTAAATTACAACGATTGAAAAGATTTTATCAGATTATATTACATCATACATATCGTATAAAACAGAAATTCTAATTGTATATATTAATTACATATGTTCATGAGACACGCCTACATCCTGCTTGAAAAATTATCATCAGTTTATACATATGTCATTTCATGTTTTTTGAAAGCCATGCTATTGAAGCATTATATAAGAAAGATTAATATTCACAAGTATTTATTTATTCAGAAATAAACAGATTGTAATTATGTTAATTCTCAAACATACATTAGTAATAATTAAACAAAGAGAAAACTCATTACAGCTATGATATGTAGGTATACAGTTTGTTGATGTACATATACAAATAGCTGCAATGATTATGTAAGTTATCTAGATACACGTTTCAATTAATAGAGTGCCTTAAGTATTTTACAGCTATACGTCATGAACAACATATTTTTAAATAAAAAAAAACAGGACTGCTCTCCAACTGTATATATATTATAATTTGAATCATTTCTAACCGACTCTTATTTGTCCTTACTTCTTACTATTATTTTTGTATATATATTGTACTTAGTGTTTATAATAAAAATGCAAAATGTATTTATCAATTTATAAAACAGTATATAATAAAAATACAATTTGAAAGTATTTTCAATAAAATCGAAATTTTTATATACTAAATTTTCTACTGTAAATGCATGTAAATATGTATACTATATATCACATATTCACTATTTAAGTATTTCATATATCAATAAATTGTCTCAAATGTTAGATATATCATAAAGTTGCTTAATGTTATATCGCTGATGCATTGTCGATAAAAATAAGTCTAATGCCCAATTTCTCCACTTCCAGATAAATTGCGGATAACTTTATCCAAGAAATATTACTTGGATAAAATTATCTATAAAGATAAAGAAATTCATTGTGTAAGGCATTAAAGAATGCTTTACAGGAGCAAGTAACATATCTAATTAAGATATTGCAAATAATATTTCAACATGACACTAAACAGAATATTAATTTGTTGGAACATGTACATACACTTGTTCTTAAAATATGAAATATAAAATTCAAATAACTAAATTACACAAAGACTAGTCTTACTTACTACTTGCAGAATATAAATATATAGGAGTAAATAACTGAGCAATTATCAATCTGTTTCACCTACCTTATCTTTTTTGTCCTGCCTCGCATAAGGAAAACAAGGTATCACCGCCGTTACTCGAGATGCAGAAGCAATTTTACAAGCGTTGATCATGATCAGAAGTTCCATAAGATTGTCGTTCACCTCGCCACTTCCACTTTGCACGATGTACACATCTTCTCCACGGACGGATTCTCCTATTTCCACGCTAAACATTTAAATCTTGCGTTATTTCCTGCAATCTTACAAGAACACAAGTGGAGTGAGATTTTCGATTAGATTCTTTTTAATAACTAGAAAGTACAAACTAAAAATCCGAGTTAATATATCTGGACATCGACGCGTACTGCTTAAAAAAAAAAAAAAAGGACGTCGAGATTGTTCTCGCGGCTCTGCGCGTTGCATTCTAGAAAAAAACATTGTGGCGCGGATCGATGCACGCGGCACGTGTCTTATCGAAATTAGAAAAACGGTTTAGAACTTAACAAGTCGGAGGGCGAGATGAAGCGAGACCGGCAACAGAAGGAACAGAGATAAATAACGCGGAGCGAAGGGACGATGCGGAGGCCGTGCGTTTCGAGCACTGCAGCGGAGCATCGTGCGGAGCACCGCGGACGCGAACAACGCACGAACGCCAGAAGGAGAATGCGTGAAACGCGACGGCGTCGGATGAAACGCGAGGAGGTTCGCCGTGCAGAAATCGCACAGCCCACGCGCGACGACACGTGGTCTCGCGCTGTGTGACGATATAAAAAAAAAAAAAACGTGGTTACGCGGCGTGGTTGCGGTGCGGCGTAGCGACCATTACCATGTCTCGAGGTTGCTGAATTTCTTCGTGACAACCTTGCCGATGTCGATGCCGAGGCGGTCCACGATCCGCTGGGCGAGATCCGGATGCGAGGTGCCGCTGAAGACCTTGATGTTGGGCATTCTGCTCTGCAAGACTCGCGCGCGTGAGTTCTCCAAGTTTGCGCGTAACAAACTCTTGGCACGTACTGGCTGCGACACAGGCATCACTACAACAGAAAGCACCGGGGCGGTCGGCCAATCGGTGATCGCGCGCCTACCGGACGTGACGTCGCACGGATCACGCTCCGCCTATGCGCGTTCCGGGGGTATCTTGCAATTAGCGCGTTAAAACGGAGCGGGGCTTTCGTTATCGCTTATCCCGTGTCGCTTATTCGACCCCCTCTCTCTCTCTCTCTCTCTCTCTCTCTCTCTATCTCACGGAAAATAACTATCTTCGATAAACGCTTTTATCGAGGATGCTAATGGCCGCATTCTAAACCGCTTGCGTAAGACCGACGGTATCTCAGACTATACACATTCAGGTTGAAAATTGAAGAGACTGATGAAGATGGAAATTTGACCAATCAAAATGAAAGGAGCTAAGATTTAATCTTGCCTCACATCGATCTAATGTGTACACGCGTTTTCTCTCTTTCCCTTACCAATTTTTATCTAACGGATTGTTCTTACTCTCTACTAATAAGTATAGGCACCGACGAGATATCAATCGAGTCCCGGAGATAATTGAAGAACGATGACGTTATCGACAATTAATAAAAACTTGCGGTTATTAAAAAAATATATATATAAATATTTCGATAATACGTTATTAAATTCGTGATTTTTTTTATTATGTAAATGCTGTATAAAGAAGCACGCTTACTTTTAATGCTATATCTTATATATATTGCTGAAAAATTATAATTTTCTCTCTGCAGTTATCATTTCTTAATTAAACTCGGATAATAATATTAAAATCACAATAAAAATTGAGTATTATTAATATATTTAAGGAGTTAAGTGTCACTGTAGAATTTTCAAAAATTCGAAATTTTTTTTTTCGCTTAAATAATACCTTAATGGTCTTAAAAATAAGATACGGAATGTTTCATAGGTAGGAAAAATTTGTAACAGTTCATTAAGAGGATTATCCCGAGGCGCCACCCAGCGTGCGTGAAGTGCCTTGACCGCTTTTGACGCGTCAAACTCTATTATGCTTGTACCTTTAGGGATAATAAAGGGATTGAAGAAAGAAAGAAGAGGAGGAGAACATAAATTCAGAAGGGGGCGATATATCGTCCAGGCATCGCAGACTGAAGGTAAATACAAAATTCCTATATTTAAACACTACATGAAACGCATTTTTCTTCAAAACAATTGTGTTTTTCAAATCGGGCGAAAGGATATAATTCGGCCAAATCATTAGCGATTCACTTGATTGAATTTTAATTGCAGTTTTAAGATAATATTTTATACAGAAGTACGTACGGAATTTTAATTTCATTGTAAACTTTTTCATTATTTTTTCGACATTTTTTTTCATTTGTGCGTCATTTTTGCAAAAAACAAAAAAATGAAATTTCAAATTTCCCTATTTAAACTGTAAAAGATAGGCAATGAAGTGGTTCTAATATCAATTGAATTTGATTAGATAAATATTTTTTTTATAATTGTTAAAACAATGTTATATTACTATATATTTATAAATAGCTAATAATACTTAATGAATGACACCACATGAGATCGCAACAGAAATTACATCAAGTTATGAGATTACATTTCATTTCTCTAAATTGTATTTTTCGACTGAATTGTTTTTATAGATGATATACCGGGAAAAATAAACAAATCACGTTATAGTTGAAAATTAATTTTCACACTTAAAAGGAGGACAATTAATAATTATATCCTTAAATTGAGACAGAATTTGGGATGCATTATAAAATGGAACAGAGTTCAAATTTGGAAACTGTCCCTCCTATTTGGCCGTCAGATAGCACATGATATTCTGAGGATATTTTGACGATGCTTCGTTTTTTTTTTGTTTTCAAGCAAGAAATGGAAGTAGAAACATCCTGAGTATATTTTGTGACATTTTCAGCATACCCTCGAAATCTCCTCGGAATATCAAATGCTATCTGAGGGGGACGGTTGGTCACCTAAAGCGCTGTCTACAATTATAAGATAGAAAAGGTGTAAAATTGATCAATCATAGTTGATTGTTTTCCACATACTCGACTGTGATTGGTCAATTTCTGACAACTCAAGGCTTAAAACTAAAGTTTTGTGCCTTAACATCGCAGACGCCACTTTACTCTTTTTAATCTATCGATTGCACGACAAGTGGTAGGACCACTCTCACCTCGATAACGTACTTTTATCGCGTCGGTTCCACGAGCGCAACGTGATTGTAAATCCGGATATCTCGATCGTTACACGTGCACGCGTCCCGCCCTTATCATCATGGGGCGGGATCGGGGATCGGGGCGCAATTGGGCGCAAATCTCGAGATTCTTAGGCCGCGCGGCGCGGCGTGAATCTAGACGAAATTCAAAAGGAGCGGGCGCGAGAGCGAGCGATAGTCAACTCGTTTTTTGCACATCATCGATGTGGCGCCGCGCCGGTGGCGCTGAGTCGAACGACGAGTCGCGTGTGTATACGTGCACGGCGGCGTGATTTCGTAGAGACACGGCCGTTGCAACGGCTACTGGGTTAGGGACGGAGAGTCCGGGTGAAACGCAGATTGAAGACGACGGGATTCGGGTGCAGGTGCACGGGATTCGCCGATTCGCGTGGGAGGACACTCTACGGCGCGGCGCGACGCGACGCACGTAATACGCGACGCGACGCGACGCGACGCCGCCAACGTGCGTGGAAACGCGTCGTAGGAGACGAGCGAGCTCGTTCGTCCGAGCGACAATGAGAACGTGCTAACCGTTTTAGGTGATTCGGGGAGCCATGGCGAACATCGCGGCGCAGCGAATCAAGCGGGAATTCAAAGAGGTTATAAAGAGCGAGGAGGTGAGTGAGCGAGCGAGCGAGCGGACGTGATGAGAGGCAGCGTTCGAGTCGACGGCAGTTGAAGCACTCGAGAGAGACTCGCGTGTCCTGATCCTCGCTACGACGGCTGCGATATTACGCAATCCCCGCGATCGGGATCTAGCACGCGCTCTCGATCGAGCGAAGGGATGACAACGAGAGCCTGTTGCGCGTCGCGCAACCCGCTGGTCAACTGTCACTCCTACGCATATTTCCTATCTTTTATCTACTTTTAGAATATTCAGAGAGAAAGAGAGCTAGCCTCCTCTTCGACGCGTTTCTATCCGTTCGGCGATATCGAATCCGTACCGCGTGCGACGCGACGTAACGTGTGTCGTAACGTCGCGATATGATAATAGATATAATAACGTCTCTCCTTGTCCTGCGTCAATGTCGACGATCGTCGACGATTTAATTAGAATGTGCTCACGCTTGAAATATGGATGGCTCCGACCGTGTATACTCACCACGATGCGCGTGTGCAGGTCCGGGATCTCGGCCGCACTGGGAGGCTTTGCACTTTTTCAGATTGCTCATTTTTCCCCTCGCATTTAATTACGTCCGTCCCCGATAATACTTGCACGTGCTTTCAGACGGCTGATTTACGCCGAGGCGCCGCGACTAAGGCCGTACCATGACAGTTTTGTGAAATATTATCCGTCGCGGAACGGTCGAGATTGCTCTTATCATGCCTCGGATGTCATAGGTTATGATTACATGTTTATTTTGATAATCGTACCACGAGACTGTTGTACCACACACGAATTTTACGAGGGAGCATAATTTAGCAATGTGTTTTCGTCGATTCTGTAGCCTCGTATCTATCATCACATAACTGGAATGTTTTTTTTTTTTTGCCTGGGGATGCGATTGAAAAACAAGTGTCACGTATATCAAAACTGTCTGAAATATTGCTGCGCCGCTACGATTTCTTAATGCTCAATTGTTTTCCATAATTTAACGTTTCGTCTTTGCTTTTCTAATCAATATATGTCATTTACTCTCCAAGTTGTGATTTTTGCTGTATTTATATGCCTTCCAAATATGTATAAATGAAGTTTTAAGATATGTTTTCATCACAAAGCCTTGATAGACTTGATTTCTAATAAATTAGTATATATTACAGTTTGATCACAAACATATTTATTTATTTGAATTTAAGAAATCTTAATACAATAAATTATAAATTTATTGTCAATTTTATATTAAAAGTCCTTGTATTCAAATTATTAATCTATAAATTGATTACTTTTATGATGTAACATACCTTACAAGTTATTTTTATTGTGCTTAATCATGTATGTATATAAACTGTTTTGTAAGCTTCAATATACTATATGTTCGAGAGTTGTTATATATTATACGTTTGCAAAACAGCAAAACATATTTATAGCAACTTCATTATTAACACTTTATTTATTTAATGTTTGTAATAGATAGCAAAATGTGCGATTAAAGTAGAGTTGGTCAACGATAGTCTTACTGAATTAAAGGGAGAGATTGCTGGTCCACCAGACACACCATACGAAGGTGGTAATTTTGTGCTCGAGATCAAAGTTCCAGAGACGTATCCATTTAATCCTCCTAAAGTAAGTTTGTATTTTTAAGAATTTAAACATAGTATTTCTGTAGCAAGCATAGTTTCTAAAAAGTAATTATTATTTTTTATTACAATTAATAGTATAACAAAGTTAATTATTACATATGAATATTATAAATCTATTACTCTGGATTTTTTCATAAATCAATAACACATGTATCAATATATTATGTCTCCAACATAAATTTATGTATTGTATTCTAAATATTTATAATAAATAAAATAAATTTTATTTTCATGAATAAGTTGTCAAAAGTTTTGTATTATATAAAATTTTATTTTGCAGGTACGTTTTATAACAAAAATATGGCATCCCAATATATCTTCTGTTACTGGTGCCATATGTTTGGATATTTTGAAAGATCAATGGTATGTACTTTTATCATAAATTTATTAATTAAATTATGAATAGTTGCGTCCAAAATTATCCAAAAATATCCAAAATTTGTATTTAATTTATTTTACACCTTTTACTGAATGAAAAGATACTTATTATTTATTATTTACTTGATTATGTATTTATTATATATTTTTTAAATTTAATGTTGTAACTTCATTGAATGTAATGTAGTTATGCATCTGCAAAATAATTTCATTTTTATTATCATTTAAGGGCTGCCGCAATGACTTTGCGTACAGTACTGCTATCACTTCAAGCATTATTATCTGCGGCGGAGCCTGATGATCCTCAGGATGCAGTAGTTGCTAAACAATATAAAGAACATCCTGAATTGTTTCGTCAAACTGCCACACATTGGACATTTGTATATGCAGGTGGTACGTACATTATTCCTATGTATATTTGCACACTTTATATATGTATGTATATATATTTTTTTGTTAAAATACTGATTTTTATATTGATTTTCTAGGGCCAGCGAAAATGCCTGATTTAGACGATAAGATAAGAAGATTAACAGATATGGGAATTGAAGAACATAACGCGAGAGTTGCTCTATCTTCATATAATTGGGATTTGGAACGCGCCACCGAGCACTGCCTCTTTAGTTAGTGATAACTACATAGTTAATTTATCACATCCATTCATTTTTTGCAAAAAAATTCTTATATCATGTGTTTCGAATATTGATATCATTAATGATTTGACAATTGGAATTCTGTAGTTATACTGACAATATCTGGATGGATGATAAAATTATCTGAAAAGTTATCCAACATTTATCAATAGTTATCTATTTAATTTGTAACATAAGAGCGTGAGAGAAAAATAATTTAAAAAAGGGTAGTATGAATCAACCAAAATTTTAAACATTTTGTAAGAACTATACTGTTCTGCATTACATTCTATTCAAATTCCATTGTTGCTTAAGTATAGCATAATTTTACAACAAAATTTACATTGATATATTCTTGATTGTTTATTTTGTACGTAATAATTCAATACAACAAATGAAATGATATAAATGCAAAGTATTCTTTAGTTCTGTGTATCATTTTCGAATTTTTATTTTATTTTTAATAATTAATCTTTGATAATTTCAATTGCATTCTAGATTTTTAATTTGTATTTGAAATAAATGAATTGCTAGTAAAATCTAATACATATATTCATAAACTATATCTTTCAAATATATAATTTGATCCTATTTGCAATTTCTATTATCTACATTTCATATCAGTGATGCACAAATTTTCTTTATAACTGTACATAATCTATACATCATTTATATTCTTAATAGAAATTGCATGTTACAATAAAAATATATTTTTCGTATTTTTTGATAAAAGATATACATTGTTACTATAACTCATGTTTTTTTTTTATAGTTTTGCAATATTAAATGTTTTTAATAAAAAAAATTATATTAGGTTTAAATTTTTTTATTATTTTAATTTGTATTTGTATCTATTTAATTAAAAAAAAATTGTGTGCACTAATTTAAAATCTGTCGAAACTATACTAAATGTAATTTGGTCATCACTGATTTATGATAAATAAAAAGTAATGTTAAGTATACTATATGCATATGTTAAAAAATCATTCTTTTATTTAAAAAAAAATAGAAAAAAAACAGATTTATGTGAGTAAATCCGCTTGTATATTATCGAAGTAAGATATGACCTGTAAAAAGATTCATAAACTTGTTCGTTTTGATGTCGATATTTTATACTTGTACATTTTTAGTGTTGGTGTACATGAGGAGGTAAAATTATCACATCATAGATATGTATCTTTGTAAAATTATCATATCATAGATATGTATCTTTACAAATAGATATTTTGTCTTGCTTGTTTTTTTTATTTGTCATGCCGTGTACATTCCAGACTCAGGTGTAAATGGCATTTATTTAACGGGCTTCAATTAAATCTCACATAAAAGTATGCAATTGGAGAGAAACGTTCAAAATAGATGAAATTTATTTTAATAACAATTATGTAAAATTGTGAGACAGCACAGTTAGAAAGGATGATGGAAGTTTAATTAGCTTATTATTTGTATAATAATGTATATGATGCAGAAATGCACATAGCTTTTTGTACAATCAAATGTTAAATCATATGCGTTATATAGTGAAAGGGTGAATATTGAATTATAGTTTCATCAGTTTGTAATATTAATTTTTCTATAAAGGATGTTTAAAAAAGTGATAGCTAGATCAATTAATTGTAAAAATTGTTTTGCTTTATTTTATTTTTTTAAATATTTAGCTCACGTGTATTATCCTACATATGAGTTTGTTTATGGATGTAATTCCAACATCCTCTTTGATGTTTTAATTGCTGTAATGTTTAATAATCATGAAACAATAAATAATTCATTTTTCATTGTTCTGACTGGATTCTAATCTCTGTATACAGATTTGTTCCTTATCATATTTTTTCAAAAATATAAGAAATATTTTCTTATTTACTAGTATATAAATTTTTATATTTTATTCGTTGATAAGTATTTAATACACCGATTTTTTTCTTTAATGTCATTTAACAATTATATAAATTATTTCAAAATTGTCCAATTTCTCATTAAATTTCTTGTATTACGTACACAAAAGCAGTACATAAGAATATTTATAAAATCAACTATTACGATAAGAGTTGCTGAAAATATTTTTTCCTAATAAAAGTACCATTAAACTTAATCCCAATTGTACTATATAAAATACGAATTGATATTGTAAACAAAATAAATTAGCGATAATTACTGAAATCTCTCAGTAATTATAGTTAAGTAGAGCGTACGGATAAAAAAATAGTAATATAGAAAATACTATATTTATGCCTTTTAAACTATATTCATATTTTTCAAAGAGAAAAGAAATTCTATAATTTACATACATTTCGAGAAAATTTTGCAATTATAATTTTTGTAATAGATATTTAATTTTAATTTTTATATATAAATAACTTTAATATACACGTACACATATCATTGTATAATATATACAAATATTTCTATATAAATATCAATCATCCTATATTTAAAAAAAATTCATAAATATTAAATAAAGGCATAATATATGATAAAATTATGAGACAAATTAAATATTTTACAAATTATTCTGAACAATTAATTATATTTGAATTAATGAAATAATTTTTCTAAACATAGTTTTATGAAACTATATCTAATTTGATTATTCTATAAGATTCTAAGTACAAAAATAAAGACAAATAAAAGAATAATAAATTATTTTATAAATGAACTTTAAATATATATTTTTTCTTACGGCAATCAAAATTTACATATGTATACATGAAACCATTACAAAGAGAAAAAAGAAGCATGTCTAAGTCAGTCAGTCGTATATGTATAAAAATACGATATCGAGGATGTCTTTGCATCTTCCGCAAAATATCATGCACATGGCAAGGCAGATTACATATTATTTTGTACATTTGTACTTTTTATGTTTGTGTTAATTGTCCATAATTATATAACCTAAGTTTCTTTGCAGAAAGACTTGTTAAAAATAAGTTATTGTTAATATTAAATGAACATAGATCCATAATAGGATCTGATACTGGAAGATGATGCAACTTTTGACCGCTCGCTATACTCCATAATGATACACTGCTACCGGATTCTATGTACGCTGCGACTAATGTATCATCTTCTACAGATAAATAACACGGTCGAGATAAAAGTTGTTGAGAATTGCCAGCATGGAATGTATGTATGGCATTATATGTAACTATCTCTTCGTTAGACGTATTTTTTTCAATAGTACATACTATATGTCTTGCGTGTGGCTGCCTAGAATTAGGACGAGATGATATAAGACAATGGTGATTTTTTTTATCATAGCGCACTGAAACAAAAGGTCCTTCTATAAACATCTGTTTAGATAGATAGTTGGTATCCTTAATTTCATATGTATAACATGTATTCAAACGACATGCTATAAATCCACCCCTACTGATACCACTGCCAGGATTTGGTGGCACTCCTGCCATTGATACAACTGGTGATTTATCACCATTACCTTCTAAGACGCTAAGAGCAGAGGAAGTTTGTCTAATATCAAATTGAGAGATAATTCCATTTTGCGCACCAGTTAGGAAAATGTTTGGATTGTCACCTGACCAACAACAACTCCAAAGTGGATATTCTGTTTGGTATGTGTGCACTGTCATGTTATTTTGGATATCGACTAGCTTAGCACATTTATCAAAACCAACACTAAGTAGAATTGTTTGTTGCGTCGAATGAAAAGTCAAATCTCTTACAGCTTGACTGTGTAAGAAAATGAATTGACGTAAATTGAAGCATTCACAATCCATTTTCCTTATGCCATACCCATTGAATAATGTGGTTGTTGACTTCTGAGAGACAGCTAGTAATTTATACCATGGATTATAATCTAAAACACGACAGCCACCCTCTTTACAGATTTCAACAGATTGTTCTAAATGAAACTTCCTTGAAGTAACACTTGACGCACTTGGACAAGTATCAATATTGATTTTTGATTTTTGACTTTCCAAGTCGGTAATACGTTTTCTCAGGCTATTTACATGCTCCTCGTATGCTTTTAAACGAACGTTAGCCTGCATTAATTCCTTCCGCAAATTATTCTTTTCACCTGACACTTTAATTAAATCCATTTTCAGATTGTCATACTCTGTAGAGTCAATTGCTGTTAGCTTTTTCGCATAAAGCATTCTAATATGTTTCACCGCCGCCTTCTTGTTGCATTGTGGACAACGACGATTTGTATTGTTGCAAGAATGCTGCAACCACCTTAGAATGCAGCTATGCCCAAATAAATGTCCACAGCGTAAACAGCATAAACGATGTTCTCCCGAGCTGGTCCATTGTTCCATGCATATTGGACATGACTGATCATAGTCTATCTCCGAGACATCCAAGTTTACACTCTTTGTATTTGCTGCAAAAGAATTAATTTTAATTACTCGGACACACTTATATGCATATATACTTAAAGAATTTTGTTTTTATAATGCAACAATTTTATTGCAGTACAAAAGCACAGCCACAATAAAAGGAATAAGGAATTAGGAATAAGAAATTTCAGTCTATCAGAAACTATGTATACCAATGTATCCAATTTTTGATAGGCTAAAAAAAATTTCTTATTCCGTATTCCTTCTATATTGTAGCTGCACCCTAATACATACATTGTTGTGAACTTTTAATTCCAGTATCACTTTCTTCATTATTTTCTAAATCATTGGGAACATTTTCACTTTCATGTTGATCTTCTACATTTTGCTCTTCTACTTGCATTTGCTCCTCTACTTGTACTTGTCCTTCTGCTTGCATTTGTTCCTCTACATGTACTTGCTCTTCTGCTTGCATTTGTTCCTCTATTTGTACTTGTTCTTCTGCTTGCACTTGTTGTTCTACTTGCATTGGCTCTTCTACATTTTCGTCTGTAACAATAATATTGTCAAATTGTTGACTTGAAATCTAATAATGCAAACAAATATATAACATTAAATATTATATATTCTTTATTATAAAAAGTACATAATTGTTAATTACATTATATTCCACAAGTCGAATAACAAATTAGAGATAAATATGCATATCTCTTTTATATTGTTTACTGTATATACTTACTGCCTTCCATAATCTTTAATTCTTACTCGATTATCAACTGGACTCGTTAGACATAAATAAAACACGTAATCTCTTCCTTTTTCTTTCTTTTCAATTTGATATCTCTGTTCTGGATTAAGACACATAATAAAATTATTATTCAATAAATCATCTTTTTTTTGTTAGATTATGAATTGATCGAAAAGCCGGTTAATTTGTTGTGAAAACAATAGCAATATAGCATCAAAGATCGGCAGAACATAGATCATGAGCTGATTATGTAAAAAGGACCTTAGAAGTAAATATATCGGAGGCGAATTTCTATTTGATCTAATTATGGACAAAATACAGAATGAATTATAACTAAAAATATCGTTCGTGGCAGCCTATGTATCTAATAGCTAGAAGTTAATTAGAAATAATAAAAAGGAAAAAAGGGAAAGACGAAAAAAATGTAAACTTTTTAAATTTTGGAACAACATAACAAATCTAAATGATTTACAAGTCAATATATTGTAAACCAATTGATTTATGAATCAATTTGTTTACAATATTGACTGCGTTTAGAAGATAAGTCACTTAATATCAATTGATTTTTTTATTACGATTGATTTAAATATTTAGATCTAAATATTATATACAACTACATACACACTGCATAAACAATCTTCTCTCTTGTGACGTATCATATGGTCTGCGCCATGTTGAGAGTTAAACATTAGCACCTCTGTGTTTAGAGTGCAACATTATTGGGTACACTCTTTTCTCCTCTACTGTCGGTAAAAGCTTAAAAATTTTGTTTGGTATATATATATATATATATGTTTTGTTTAAAATTTCCTAAGATAAATATATATATACTAATACCCAGAGAACAATGCACGTCTGAAAGACATCCAAAAGACGTCTTCAAAAAGACGTCTTGAGGACTTTTCCAAAAGACGTTCTTAAGATGTCTTTCGGATTTTATCCAAAATAAGTCTGTTGCATGTAGTCGGAAAGACGTCTTGAGGACATTTGAAAAAGACGTCTTGAGGACTTTTCCAAAAGACATCGTTAAGACGACTTAAAGTTGATTTTTATAGTCGACTCTTAAAGTCGATTTTTAAGATTGACATTTATAATATCGACTATTCTGAAATGATTTTTTGTCGATTTTGAATGTAATTGACTAAGAGTTGACTTATATTGTCAATTTTATATTTATTATTAATAATAAAAATCTCTAGATGCGCTATATATAACATAAATATTTCAAATAATATAAAATACTAAAAAATGATTATATAAGTAACAATAAATGACTTTTATTGTTGCGATGTCTCATCGTAAAAATATATATATTCGGACGTTGAAGGGAGAAAATGCGAAGAGAAAATGTTGATAGCAAAAATTTCAAGCTACGCGAACAGAAGCGAATTGTTTTTATTTTATTTTTGTTCTAAATTTATATATATAATGTAATTTTTTGTATATAGTATATATAGTAATAAGAAAAAAATGTTGCACCGCCAGTAAACAATTAATGTGGATGATGATTCTTAACACAATTAATTATATTATTAATACATACGCTATGTATAAATATACACCTAATTTTTGATTCATAAAATCTTCAGCAGAGAGATAGAGAGAAAGAGAGAGGGGGGGGGCTGGTAAGATCAATTTTCTTTTGAATATACGTATTGTATGGTATACATAAAATAAAAATAATTGACATACGTACTGCGTATATTTGATAAAAAGAACTTCGAAATATTTTGAAGTGAGCAAAATATTCAATAGTGACATTATATGAAATATTTAATTTCTTTTCATATGTATATTATGTAATGTATCATATACTACACGTACGATCTTTTTGGCCAATTACACAAAAATATTTCTCCGTTACATTCTTCAAATTGTCACATACAATTTGACGATTTAACATATAACTCTGTCACAAAAAATAACAAAGAAATCGCAGGTTACTTACGCATACATCACTACATTTTGCTAGCTCAAGCAAAGAACGCAGTGCATTTCGAAGGTAAAAATATGAAGGTAAAATTAACATCTCTAAATAAAATATTCTTTTTCTTTTACATCAAACAGTAGGTACACATGTTTCATGATTAATCTTTTAAGAAACCACGTATATGTGTGACTCTGTTTGATTTATTGTATTACACATCGACTTCTTTTTAATATATTTTTAGATGTTTAAAATTAGTTGTTAGTGTGTTAAAAAACTAAAAAAAATTTTATCTATTGAATAATATGATATTAAATATTTTAATTATTATTATAACATTATAAATATATATATAATAATAATTATGTTTATGTATTCTGGTGTATTTATTAAATTATTATATTATATATATAATTTTAAGTAGAAAATTACGTTGATAAGATTGTAAA